CGGCAGATTTAAAGAATATTAGACCAGTATTTTGAGGATAGAAATGGTAATTCATTGCGAAAAAAGTGGGGAACGTTTTTATTTTTTTAATTAGTTATTGTGGGTTTAGACATGTAAGAAACAAAATTGCTAACACGGGTCACTAAAGGAAAACTTTTTATAGCAAAAAAACAAAACAGGATTTTCCTATCTTTTTTTTTTGTTTTATCATCGATAACTACTAAATAGTGTATCATAGGGAAAACCTATTCTTTAAGAAATTAAAGAATGTTAAATTTTGCGTCGAACGAGTACCTAAACTTAATAATTTGATTAAATGGTATGGTCGATGACCACGGCCAATGAACGCTAATTTTTACCAAATTTGTCAAAAACTAAGACAAATTACTATAAATGGCCCTGCTGGTTGGAAATGAGTCCTCTAAGAGAAAAAAACGTATAGATTAAATTCCAATTCCGGTCTTATTCAGATTCCAATCATATCGGAGACCAACTAATTAATACCTTCCTTCATTAAAAAGTTCTCAGTTATTTTAAGATAAGAAAATAACATTTCTAATAAATAAACATTCTAAACATTAATATCAAAATTATTATCGTGCCAAGTTTTGTATTGTAAATTGCATGGATTCATCAAGGAGGCTATAGTTGCTGGAGGTTACAATGCGTCCAGATATATTGCAACTGAAGAAAAACTAGGACTTTGAAAAAACCGAGTTTTCTTCTGTTCGAATAAACGATTTTCCGAAAGAATAAATAAAGTTCATTTATTTTATACATTAATTTTCCTCCATCATGTAATTCATCTGCGACTCAGTTCGGAGTCAGTATGGACAAACTGCGGCAGGAGCACAAACATTCGCAGCTCACAGCCGATCAAAAACTGCGTCACTTCACCTTGTAAGCCCAATTTTGCTGTTGCATTCGATTCTGTTTCACAAAATCTCGCCCTGCGGCTAAGACCGAACGCAAGTTGAGCCATAGTGTGGTGAAGTGTCGTGATGGGCCAATGGTAAGATTCATAAAACTGGTCACGGTACTAAATATTTTTATATCACATTAAAAAATTCAGATATGAGAAAGAATTCTCCCTATATTCCTCTTTTCTTTAAATAGCTGCTTTTTGGAACTTTTTTCACCATCCAGGGGAGGGGAGGCGCAGGAGAATTTTAAAGATGAATTCATTCTATATTTCTCTTTTCTTTCTTTTTGGAACTTTTTTTTGGAATTGTTTTTCTACCAACCAGGAAATGAAGGGAGCTCGCCCACTGGCTGGAACTACTGGTGCTGTTCACGATAATAATTGATTTTTATATGACATTAAAAATATCGTCCTTAAGTATGAATTCTCCCTACATTTTTTTTTTTTTAATAGTTGCTTTTTGAAACTTTTTTCCGGAATTTTTTTCAACCATCCAGGGAGGAGGGGCGTGTAGCTCCGCTGACTTTATTGCGATGACTTACTTTTAAAAAGCAAAAAACTTGCTAGATATATTTATTTTTTTATTGTTTTTTTTAAATAACACAGTTAAATATTTTAATTTGATTGAGTTTGGACATATTTAAAATGAGATTATAAATAAATCTGTAGAAGAGTTTCAGGTTTTATTTGTTCACTGTAACCATTTAAGTCGTATAATCATTTAACTGTATACTGTAACCATTTTAAGTCAAGACATCAGATTGTGAGTTGAATAGTACAACTCATAATGTCATTCCGAAAGCTAAAGTATATTTTCCAGTAAAAATCTTTCTTTCGTTGAGTTGGATTCTGCCCACTTCCGATTAAATACCGGTGAAGACTGTTCACTTAAGTGATAATTTAACTTAAAAATGTTTAATTCATTTATTTCATAACAATTCGCTACAAAGTCCTCTACATTTTCTTTATTTCGTGTACTCGACGAAAACAAAAGTTCAACTAAAACACAAGGCATATTTTAATTTGATTGATTTCTAACACAGCCACAATACAACTAATTACTTCACTGATAGCAGCTATCACGTTCACCACCGCGCCACAGATATTCAGAAAAAAATAAATTAAAAATCCTGTACCGCTAACAACTCATGAAGGGTCTTGGGTTCAGTACAATGTGAGGAAGCACTGTTACAAGGCCAACTATTGTCCAGGGAGGTGATGGGCCAATATCACGCGCAATCGCCAGGTTTTCTCCTTTAATCAATTTCTTAGTTAAGAGTACCCACATTATAAAGGCTGGATTTGCCCCAGCGGTTTCCCGGCCTCAATGTCGACCCACGGCTCCTGAAAAATTACTGATCATCAGCCGGATTCGAACCTGAGATCTTGAGCTCTGCACGTCAGTGCTCACCCACTGATCTACCCCTCTCCAATTCAGAAATGTAAGAATATATTAATTCCAAGACGGCGCTGGCAGACGCACAGTGGAGCCAATTGCCGATCTATGGGAACAAACTTCATTGAGCATAATTTTCCATTATAAATCATGTATTCGTCACAAATAAATACAAATAAAATTTTTATAGTCCTTATTAATTCAATATATATTTAATTTATGGTGAAAATATATTTTTTAAGAAAATTGAAATTTAAAATCGTAATTACAAATAATTAACAAAAATAACAATAAAATAAAATCAGTATAGAAATCTTCAAATTAATTTAATCTATTTCCTCAAACTTATAATCATAACATCATTAGAAAGCTCCCTCTCTGGATGAAGTCCCTCATAATCGCTTCCTTAATTGCAATTTAAATTTCCATTTTATTTCCTTCTTTTTTTTCTTTTTTTTTCCTTGTCTACACAGTTTGTAATTATGTACCCCGTTCAAAAACCCATAACCCTATAAAAATTTGCTCCCTCAAAAATTTTGACGGCGTAACTTATGCCATACAGACCCCTTCTGGGCACGACTACTATATTATATCCTGTACTTTCCGCTCATTTGTTTTTCGAATCATACAGAAAAATATTATTCGGTCTACCTTTTCTCTCGAAACCTCTATAAGATTGGTGATTGTCAATTGTTGTCAGGAATAGAAAATATGCCTTAGCTATAACATATTTCTCTAAAAAAAAAAAGAAAATTATTTTTTAACGCTAATTAATCTTGTAAGTAAACAGGTCTACATTGCTTTTCAATGCTGTATAAGTTTTATTATATAATATACAGCGCCACTGGACACAACTTTATTTCAAAAAATAAAGAAAATGGTAAAACTCTTCCAATATCGATAAAAAGAAGACATCAGGCCGATATGTAGGTTTTGGAATATCAGTATCTTCTCACATTCATGTTTATGTCGATTTCTTGGCGACTGGACTGGTTGACATATTTACTAGCAATATAAATAATATTATAATAATAAGCAATATAATAATAATAAACGGGAATCTCTATGAGTCATGATAAAATAGGTTCGTAAGGCCGATATATCGGTCAAAAAAAAAAACCTGTACCACTACAACCCATAAAGAGTCTGGGGTTCAGTACTATTTAGGGAAAGCACTGTTTCTAGGTCAAAGGTTGTGCAAGGAGGTGATTTGACCGAGATCACGCTCAACCACCAGGTTTTTTCCCCTTAATCAATTATTTAATTGAGGATACCCACTTTATAGAGGCTGGGTGTGCCCCAGGAGGGTCTCCCGACCCACGGTCGCCGCACGGCCAATGAAACAGATAAATAAATTTTCTGCCATGAGCCGGGGTTCGAACCTGGGACTTTTGCATATATCGGTCAAATAGGATTTTATTCAAGGAGCATCCTGTATAACCATTTTTTTTTTTTTTTTTTTTTTTTTGTTCTCCTTTTCTTTCAAATTTTAGTTGTCCTCCTATCGGTAAAATAGGAGGACAAATAAAATTTGAAAGAAAAGGAGAACAAAAAAAAATGGTTATACAGGATGGTCCTTGAATAAAATAAGCACGGGAGACCGATATATCGGTCTTTGGAATATCGGTATCTCTTAAAATTAGAGAAAGGGGACGACCGAAATAAAAGTAATAACAAATAAAAAAAATGTTAAAACTCTTTCGATGGATAGGTTTTCGGAATATCAGTAGTGGTGCACAAAAAAAAAAAAAAATAAAAAAGAAGAAATCAAACGTTACCAATCATGATAATATATGGTTGTGAGTCCGATATACCGGTCTTTTGAATATATCTGCTCGAATTATATAAGGTCGGTAAGCAAAAAAACAAAAATTTTAAAAATGGTCTAAGTCTACTATCTCGATAAAATAAGGTCATAAGACCGATATAAATTGGGTTTTGATCAAATTTATGTTTATTTTGATCCCTTGACGATTTATTGACGCAATTATGAGCAATTAAAATAATATTCAAAGTGAAAGAGGCCGATATATCAATTTAAGTGGATGACCAGGAAATTGGGTAGTGGTGAAAAAAAAAAATTAAATAGATAAAAAAGAAGAAATCAAACTGCCAATCTTATAGGATAAGGTCGTGAGGCCGATATATAGGTCTTTGGAATATCGGTATATGTCCGAATTAGGGGAAGAGGAGGGCTAGAAACAAAATTAATTAAAATGTGTCTAATTCTACCAATCTCATTAAAATAAGGTCACAAGGCCGATGTATCGGTTTTTAGAATATCCGTATCTGCTGAAAATCTGAAGAGATGAAGAGCAAAATCGGTATCGGTCAATCTCTAGTTCTGACGTTAGTTTAATAAGACCAAAAAATAATTCCTAACCTGATTTTATGGTACATAATTCTACTAATACAAAATAAACATTTTTATGGATGGATAATTTGTTAAAGATATACAATCTACATTGGGAACTGCAGGATTTTATTTACAAAAATCTAGAATCTAAAATATTTAATTATTTAATATTAAAATAATAATTATGCTTCATATTTTTTAGCAATGCGATTCCAACTATTATGCACCGACTTTACAATATAATATAGGTAAATATAGGAACTCATAGTAAATTTATAGTTTGAAATGGTATGAATACGTCTTTTGCCACAGAGTACTTATCGAAGCTACGGGGTAGTAGTTCGAACGGCCATTGCAGACAATTTTTCATAAAGTGTTAGTATTTATATGAATTAGGTATTTAATATATATGGCTTATATCTTAAGCCATAAAATTACTAAAAGAGTCTCATTCTAACATAGCTTATGAATAACAGCTATAAGCAGATAGTAATAACATTCAAAATTTACACTACAGCGATAGATTAAGACAATATTTAGATTGTATAAATTTGCATGTATTAAGTTATGTCTTAATAATGCATTAAGACATTTTAAAAAATAAATAAATAAAAAACCTGTGTTTTCAATGATAATTCTTCTAGTGATTAAAGTAGATTCTTCAATATTGATGAAACTGAAGCGTGCTTACATTAACACTAATTAATCACATAAAGATCTCGTATTTACTGTACATTGTTTACATAATGTATTATTTGCTGACGTATGCAATGTTTTAATGTAACAGTTCATAGGTGGGTCAAAGTATAACTGTTTACTGAGATAAAAATAACCTATGAATTGGACCATTGCCTAAATTGCAACGTTTCACTTGGCACAAAAATTGATAGATATGTGGATGAAGGTTTAGTAGTAGGACTTGAAAAACTGGTTACATCAATTTAATTACAAACTTAAGAGGAATCAATTAGGGGATGAAAACATTTTATTGTTTTGTATAATTGACGTATTCCTGGAATACCAAATCCAATGAGTCATTTGTATATCGACATGATGTGGACATATTCCAATAAATGCTTACTAATATATTTCTGAGTATGTAAAATAAGCCGTTTATTTTCTTTTAAGCGCTGTCTAGAGAATGGAACCGAGAAAACTACCTCAGAGTACGTCAGCAGACGGGGACAGAAAGGGATGAATACATACTATTACTTTAAATAATCTATCGATGAGGTGGAAACGGATTATGAAAAAATTAGGGAGGGGTCGGAATTGACGGGGGGGAGGGCGGTCTACCTCGAACCCGCTTATAAAAGGAGTCTCATGACAGTTTTTTTAAGTTGAATAATAACTGTATTGCAAAAAAAACGAACATATAAATTGCCAGGCGAGAAATTTATAAGTTTTATTTTGTTTACTGAAGGCGAATATTTTTGCAGAAATAATTATTTTCGAATTCTAAGCAAATTTCTGCTAAAAATTGTCGCCTTCAATGTTCTTATGGGATACGACTTTATTATAGATATTACACACGTTAAAATTATGTGGATCTCTCAAGAACTTTGAATTTAAGTCGGAATATCAAAAAAAATATTTTATTTTTCGAAGTTCGCACATAATGATTTTTCTAAAGGCAAAAACGCGATTATCAACTTTGTTCCTCCCTCGAAAAATATTTTATGGATTCCGAATGCGTTTTTCGTGTACAATATCTACAATACATCCATTATTTTTGATTTTCGGACAGGATCAAAGTAGTATCAGGGTCTGTACACGTAATCTTACTTTGGATATCCGTCTGCTTTAGAAAAAGTATATATTTAGCATATATTCATAGTATACATTCAACATTGAAACTATTTGTACCGACCAATGGCGCAAAGTAAAGTAAGATATTTTTTTAAAAGGAAAATCAAGTAGATATTCGTATTCCATACCTCGAAACACTAACGGATCACACACTAACATTTAACTTTATGGGGGACTTCGGCCCGAATGATTTACGATATATATATTACGATAGTTACTTTGGAAGAAAGAAAGAAACTAAGTAAATATATCTGCTGGTGTTCCTCAAGGTAGTATCCTGGGTCTTATCCTTTACACAGTTTATACAGCTTACATCCCAACCCATCCTGACACTGTCATCACCTTGTATGCTGATGACACATGTATCCTATCTGCTAATAATGATCCATCAACTGCATTCCAAACTCTCCAATACCATACCACAAACCTTCAAGAATGGTGTAAAAACAGAATTAAAATAACTCCCACCAAACTACCTTTTTACAGTATCCTTAAACAATTCCCCACTTATCCCAGTTTGAACAAATCCGTTACCTAGGACTCTGCCTGGACAAACGACTCACATGGAATCCTCATACAAGACTGAAACGACAAGAAACCGCTTCACCAAACCATGTTTCCGACAATTATAAACTCGAATATACGAACAACTTAAAAAAAAACTGTATCTTTATGAAAACAAACAAAATGTTACATAATAAGAGCTACAACGCTACTGAATCATGAACTATTGCTACCTAGGCTTACTAATAAAACCTATACATAGTGATGCTACAGTACAATATTAGGGTAAATGATGTCTACCTCCTCCCATCCGAAGATTCAAGCTTCCTAGCGAAGAATTGGTTGAGAATGTGACATGGGATTAAAAGTTGGTTGCTGTGTTACTTCTACCATGGAGGGGATTGATTTGTTTACTGTAAAGAGCTTTTTAACTTGCGAATACTTTGTGTTGAGGTATATATGGTATGATAATAAGTAAAATACAATAATTGAGGAAATTAATTGCAATATTTCAGATATATGACATATGATGATCCCATGAAAGGCAAGCTGATTCTACTCTTGAGGTTTTTATATATTTCAAGTTATGAAAAGATACATTTGAATGACTAAATCTAAATATTTCATATGAGTAAGACATAGGTAATATACTAATACCCTTACTTACAGTAATATAATATAATTTCTAGTAATATCCTAACTTTAATAGACAACCTTTGGGTATAGGAATAGGTAAGGTAGTATTAGGTAGTGGGTAAAGAACATTCTGGTTATACAATATATATACATCAATATCTTCAATATATCTAATAAATGATTCTTGATTATTAATAGTAGTGGTATAACAAAAGCTAATATCATTTCTGATAACTTGGTTAATACATGGGTTCGTATTTAATACATCTGTACAATAATAATTAGTCTTGATATAGGTACAGTTTCCTGTATAAGCTTGGTTGTTAGAGAACAAAATTAAATGATTTGGTGCTATTGTTGTTACAAGATTATTCTGATGACTAGAGGGTAATGATAATAAATATAAGGTTGACAATTTTCTACTTTCTTTAGGGATTGAGAAAGTCCCTATGGTATAATGAATTGTACCATTTCTTGTGGCAAAGTGGATTTTACTAGTTAGCCATAAAGTTTCTAAATCGTCACTTATATACTTTTGTTTTAGGTCTGTATGTTTAATGATGTCAGTATGTGGTATGCTGAGCCTACACATTTCTAAAGAATTTTCAATGTCAAGGATTTTAATAATTATATAGTTAATAATAGAATAAACTTCTTCTAAATGTATTTTATATTTGTTTTTGTGTAATGATTTCACTTAATTTCTTATTATTGTCATTTATAATCTGTATGTCTTCATTAAATTTAGAAATAATTTTTTTGTTGATAGTAAGTTCTTTAATTAAGTTATTCTGAATATGGTTTTCGTTTTGTTAAAGATTTTCTATAATAGAATTATACCTTTCCATATCCATATAGTCAGTTAACCATTTAATAGCAGTGCCTAGACCATTAATAATACTTCGTTAGGTTCTGTCATGAGTCGTTAGCGATTCTATTTTATCTTCTAAATAAAAAATTTGTTTTAGTGTCAGATTGTAAATTGATTCCTTTCACTAGCGGATCCAGGATTTAATTTTGGGGGGGGGGCTTCAGCCCGAAACCTTTTTTTTTCATAAAAATAACGATAATTACTTTGGGAAAACAGACAGAAACTAACTATCTATATGAAATGGTGTTTAAGTTATTCCTTAAGTACTTTTAAATGTAATTACACGAAAAATAATACTTTAAGAGGTATTTTTAAAAAAAATTTTCCCATAAAACATGGTTATATTTTTCCATTTTGGGAGGGCTTCAGCCCGAAAGCCCCCCCCCCCCCCCGTAGATCCGCCCGTGATTCCTTTGCAGGAAAATGTATTAGTCCTTTTTTTAATAATTTGTATATTTTCAATTAAATCAAAGAAGTGTATATAGTATATTACTGTGTCATAATTTTCTAAGAGTCGACAAGCTTAAATGTCATTAATCCGCCTGAGTGTGCCACGTCAGTTATTTGATAAGCTAGAGTCGGAGTCACTATCAGCATTGTCCATATCACCAGTTGCTCGGGTGTCATCATCTGTAAGCAAAATAGTCTTCTCACGAGTCTTTCTTGGTCTCCTTACATTTTTAATATGGGCATGCACAATAGTATTTTTGTCTATAAATGCTTTGACAGGCTTAAATACGTTCTCATCTTTTGTCCTAACTCTTCTTTTAATATACGCTTCAAGTAGTGAAGGAAATCTTCAAGGTCTTCAAGACATTGATTAAGGCGTTCTGTTCTTTTTCTTTTTCCTCTGATATTTTACAATTGGCCAAGTTATGAATAATGTTTAATTTATCGTGATATTTTTTTACTGTTTTCTTTAATCATTTGCTCATCTCGATCGGGGTCAATAATTTTACCAAAAGTTATCTCGTTGGGAGTTAATTTAAGATTTTTATTAAGTGTTTCATTAAATTTACTGACAGCAATATTCACAATAGTTTCTAAACTATTTAAAGGGTGTTCTTCTTTTATGATCCTTAAAAGTTCTATTAAAGTTAAATGTGGGCGATTTAATGTTCCTAAGGAGTTTGAATTATTTGAGAGCGGGTAATGACAATCAATCCCTAAACTTTTTTAGGGCAATCAATCAAGACCATTTTTATATTCTCTACCTTGGACCCATTGTTATTTGTACTGGGGAAGGATAAAGAGCAAAATATTTGGTCACTACTTGGTGAATGTTTGTGGCATTATTTGTTCTAATAACGTCTGCATACAGTTTTTTGGAAAAAGTGTCAATTATTGTAATAATAAATTTTCATTGGTAATGTAGGATGTCAATCATTAAATATTCGACGGATCTTTCTGGAGTAGGAGTGATTTGAAAATTTGTTATGATAAGTTTTCTTTCATACTTAGTTTTTGCATTACTTAGTGTGTGCTACATTTATTTATATAGGCAGCAATTTCATTTTTCATTCGAAGAAAATAGTAATGTCGTTTTAATTTTTCATATGTTTCTATGATACCGCGGTGATATAATTTGCCGGAGTGATAATTTTCGATGAGTTCAATTTGTTCTGCTTGATTAGTAATGCCTATTGATTTTGTTTTAGAAAATGCAAAATTATAATTTTTTGCATACAAATTTTGCAAGTTTGATAACAACCACAAAAATTGTGGTAACTTCAAGACGACTCACAGATTCACATAAAAATTATTAGAGATTTAGGGCTCTGTTTGTAACAGAAAATGATTGACACTCTACCTCTGTAAACAAATTACAACCAAAGATATAAAATAAAAATATTTGATAAGTTTTTCTAAATTTCTAGCTTGAAAGAAAAGAAATATAAAACTTATTTATGTGGTTTGGAAGAGCAGTAATTCAGCTTTCTAATGGTTGCACTGAAGTTGAATTTGGAGAAATCCCTGAGAAGTAATGAATGGTTTAGTTAAAGACTGAAAAAACAATCCTCCAAGAAAAACAAGTATTAAAATTTGAAATTTTTATAAAAATTCATATTTAAAAGTTTTAAGGAACACTAAAAACTAATCTAGCTTGCTTCTTCATAACAAAAATTTGCTTGGCACACTTTCTTGGAAGTGCTTTTTGCTTATTGTAATTTAAGATACTTTATAACTCATTTAATACCATAGTCAATATTTCTTTATTTTGAGAAAAAAAAAAACAAGAAAGAAATCAATTGGTATGTAACAACCTAAAAATCCAGGCAAAGCAAACGAAAAAATAAATTTTGTATGAAATTATATTTTAAAAAAATTGTCTCGGCTCATACGGCTTACACAGGTGCATTGGCGAGAAAACATTAACATGGGTCTAATATTTTCCAATCTAGTATTACCAAAAATGTTTCATTAATTGGTGACTCCATGTCTGTAAGTTAACATGATATCTGTATAATAAAGTGAATACTGAAGTCTAATATTTTACACAGACTTACTAATAGAATCTTGAGATTTTCAGTCTAATTAGACTAGGTTGATACTTGTAGAATAATGAGCCCTTTCTGCTGATATTATATGTAAAGAATAAAAAAATAAAAGTCAAATATTTAAAGTAAGAAGTACCACTTTATTTATATATATATATATATATATATATATATATATATATATATATATATATATATATATATATATATATATAAATCTATTTATATAATATATAATTTATATAATATATAGTTCTTTTTATATATTATATAAAAAGAAATATGTATACACATACTTAATAAATATATTTGTTTGGCCTAATATTATTATAATAAGTAAAACTATACAAAGTATTATCATACAATATGTAAAAAAGCACTTAATCCATTAATAGCCATCATTGTGAGAATGCTCCACTATATAAAAGTTTGTTGTTTTTTTCTTCTTAATTTTAAAATCATATTATTCTTTATTATGCTGCCAGGCAGGCCATCTTATATATTTAAAAAAAAATTATCTTTTTTAAACAAATGGAAATTTGTCTTATTTACTCAGATTTTCATAATTGTTTGATATAATGTATGATCGTTTTTACCTTACTAAACTAACTTTTAAAAAAATCAGTTTTCAATCAATAATTCAAATAAAAGGTTTGAGGAACTAATATTAAATTTATGAAATGGTTGAATTAAGTTTTGAAATTCATGTAATTTATTTTTCATGAAATTAAAGATGAGGAAGGGAAAGACTTAAAAAAAATATACTTGGGTTGCATAGGTTTATTTTAAATATTTTAGTGAGGGTGGTACATGCCTCAAATGTAAGCATCATTTTGGTATCCTCATCAAAAATTGGGGAAGAGGATGAAATATTTGTTGACCATTTTTACTTTAGACAATACTGTGATTCCTTAAAACATATTTTGAGGTTAAAATTGCTAAATTCATAAACTGTGTCCATTTCTTCCAAGGTCATGGGGGAAAAAATCTCTAATTTCACATATTTTTCTCTGGCTGAAGGTATCATTTAATTTTAAAACTATCAACCACATTATCATAATTATAAACAAAGATATACATTTATTTCTTGGTATATTGCTTCCTTATATCAAAGAAGGTATGAAAATTTTGTTTACTAAACAAGAGAGCCCCAAATAACCAAACTGAATATAAAATGAAAAATTAGTATCTTGAAAATATAGCATATGATGAGCCCCAAAAACTATTTCATTTTAAGTCATCTTTTACTGTTTGAAATGACCCAAAATATCTGTGTTAACAAGTTCTTTAAATTGAAATAAATAGTTTTTTTAGTTTGTTTTTATCAATTCTATTTTTGGCCATTAACTGATTAAGAAACTAATTCCATTAACAAGAAAGTGTACATATGTTCAAACTCAAACACACACGCAAGCATACACACAAACATATTTAAGCAACAAAATAGTACGCCTAAGAACAAATATGATTCTTACAAAGAAATAAAATTTCTTACAAATAATAATACTGTTTTACATATCAGATTATCAATGTGTCAAAATTGCTACTAGCAAAATTATGAACTCTTCAGACATCAAACATACATTTGAATTCAAAAAGAATTATCAATATTTAATCCCTTAGTAAAATTTAATTTTAATAAGAATTCTCTCTCATAAATATATATATTAACAGGAAATTTGAAATAACTAGTGATAACATTTATTCAACAAAGAGAAGTATTTCGTAAATCTTGATTAGCCTTTTGAACTTTGTTAACTAATTTTTCATCTTGTTTTTCATCCTTAGTAAAATTATCATCAAAATCATTTTTAGACGATGGTCTTGGATTTCTGTTATAACTACCAGTGCTGTATTGTGAATCAGCTATAGAACGTCCATCACCTTCATCACGTCGAGAAAGTTCACTACATGGTGAAGTATTTCTACCTTTCCCTTCTTCAACCATTTCAGATGGATAGAATCTTTGAAGTTCTGCAGTAGAAAACCATGGCTTTTCTTTATGTGATTCTGTTAAATCAGTTTTTTCACCTTGAGGCAAAAGCAACTTTGTTAGTGGAGGAGCCAGTCCCAAACCAATGTTTCTTTCATGGTATACTTCCGATATTGTAGGAGTTAAATCTCTGTTCAATCTGGTTAACTGTGTTGCTCTTATCTGGTCTTGAATGCCAGATGATACAGTATTTGCTTCATTGGAATTAGAAACTTGTTCTTGCTCTGAGAAATATAGCAATCTTGATGAAGAATGTGATTCAGCATAAATATTACCAGAATGCTTTTCCACAGTATTTCGTGGAATATGTTTAGAGTTTATTCTATTTAATAATAAGTCTTGAGGTCGAGAAGTAAGGAGGTTAAAATCTTCAGTCAGTTGATTGTATAAAGGAGGAGGAGGGGGTTTACGAGATATAGGTGGAACAGGAGGTAAACGTCGAAGAATGGTTGTGTGACCATTGTTGTCCCAATCGGGAGTTGATCCAGCAGAACTTGAGGAATCAGGGCTTCTTTGCTGAGTAGAAGGTTCCAGTTTTGTTTCAGCCATTGATGTGCAAAGGTTTCTCAACCTTGTTTGTTGTGAAACTTTAAACCCAGATATCTGTTCAGTGGATGCTTGAGCAGCAACTGGAGGACTGGGAGTAAAAGCAGCATCACTTTCCCCTCCTCCACCTGGTCTTCGTACCTGCACAGACAGCAAACCAAATTATGAAATGTCAAGTAGTTAACAACCAAAAATTAATTAGACATCATTAAAGGGGTGTAAATGTTACTAAATAAATAGTACGATATTAAATACTATAATCACTATAATAAAGATATTATAATGAAATTTCATTACAGAAGCCAATTAATTCTGTAAGGTCTGCTATAACATTTATTGACTTATCTGTATATAAAATATACATCGAGTATAAAACTTGATTAGCTACCTCCATGAAATTAAATTAGTGATTAGCTACCTCCATGAAATTAAATTAGTAAGAGTTCAATTTAACTTTGCTAAGGGTTACTTTAACATGTTAAAATATATTAGTCTGTGGGCCAGACCCCCACATGCTTATAAATTGTATATTGCTGTGTTCCTTGTAACTATTTATTAAAAAAAAGACAATGTTTCCACAAAAAAAAGTGAACGAACTGCCCCAAAATGGCGTCCAAACATGGCAGACTGATGACTTTTACTTCAGTTACGTTTTTGGTCATTGATTTGGCTTAATTTCGTCATAATACCAATGCCTTTTATTAAACCTGGATAGTCAGAGAATAATAAAACATAAAGGAATATTAAAAAATAATTGGCTTAGGCAATTAAAAACACCAGTAAAGTCAATTTTTCCAACTAAAAAAATTTTAAGTTGAAAATCAAGCATCATTTGTAATTAAAAGGCCAACAATAACAGAAAACATGCTGAAATAAAACATCTGGACAATACATATTTACCATTTTTATTATTACTAGTGACAGAATACCAAGTTTTATTATTATAATTATATCATTTTTACAATAGAGGCCTTTTTATACGACCTCCGTATAGAATAAAGGAAAAAATATTTAAAAAAAAAAATTGTTTAATTTTTTTTTTGACAATTTAATTATTGCATTAATATTTATTCCTTAATACAATCAATATAATGTACCAAAAACTTTATTATAGCACTATAACTATGCCATTTATGAGTACTGAATGATGTGGCAGAGTCCTGTAGGCACCTACGCCAGTACTGCTTTTTCGCTGATTAAAACCATGCAAACATCCTTATAGCAACATACTTGTAGAGAAAAATGCCTGTATAACCGAATGGAAGAGCCATTTAGCGGCTATTTATGGAGGAGAGCAAGTCGAGTTGCTACCCTATTAGAAGACATGAAGCCACCTTATGATGAAGAGGTTACAGAAAATCTAGAAAAACTGGATAAATCACGAGGCATCAGGAATAAATGATAGCGCAGATGAGCTTCTTAAGTTTGGAGCGTACAAGGTTTTGTCCAATATTTTATTTAAACATTCACTCTCATTTGCCATGAAAGAAGTACAACCTTATCAATCTGAATTCCACAAAGGAAAATTTAAACGGACCAAATATGTGATTTGGTATACCTTAGGATAATAACAGAGTAGGGTTGAAAGTTTCATATCATGACATACCAACTCTTCCTAGATTTGAAAGTGGTATACGATAACATCAATTGCGCTCTGTAGTGTTTAGAGAGAATTCTAGATTCCTCAAAAGTAAGGTTTACAAGGCATTTAGTAAGTTAGACTGATAATGATAACCATGACATTTAAGGTTTTAAATGTGTTAAACAGATAGTAGGTGATTCGTCAGAAACCTTCTAATCAATGAGAGGTGTCTGTCAAGAGGATCATTAGCACATCTATTGTTCAACCTAGCAATGGAAAAGACAGTCAGGATTTCAGGTATCCATACCTGGTTGGTATAGTTACCAGCATTTGCAGTTGACATAGACATTGAGAAAAAATTGCAGCAAGCAGTAAGAGAAGCGTTCTTTGTACTAGAGCCAAGAAAAAAACTAAATACATGGTATCTGAACAACTAAGACACCACTTACCAAACAGGTTTATTTCAACACAATTATTTTGTACCAAACTTTAATACATCCAATCCTCACTTATGGTACAACTACGTGGACAGCAACTAAGGCATCAAAAGAGATTGTTGTCATTTTACTGTTAAAGAGACAGATTCTTTGATAAATATTTGGAACAAAGATGCAGCAGAGTTGCATGGAGATAAGTGGAAAGCAAAAGCTCAAGATAGGCAGGGATGGAGAAGTCTGGTTAAGGAGGCAAAAGATCTATAAGGTCTGTAAAGCCAATTGAAAAAAAAAAAGTTGTTACCAAAATTCTTACTTTCACAACACACGATGTGTCTAATGAAGCTGTTCTTCCATCAGGCTCTCCTCTTCTTCTAATATAACTCGTAAAAGCACCAGATACTCTGTTGTTCCTTAAAATAACAGCTGCTCGTTCAACTTCCGTCTCTAAAGATGGAAGGCTTTCAGCTGAGCTGGTAGATGCTACACTTAAACTCTTGGAAAGGGAAACTTCTTCTGTGATGCCTATAAAAGAATACTATCTTCAATGTTTTTTGAAAAGGTAAAGTGCACATTAATTACCAAATAAAACAAAATTATTTAAAGTATTTTTATTTAGAACTGAAACCAGATAATTTTTGAACAAATATCACAGTAACTTATTGGAAAAGATTAAACAAACAAGGGAAAATTAATAGAGATAGAAAATAATCAGTTACCAGTTTTAGAAGATTGGGATTTTGAAATGTCTTTGATGCAATCCTGCTTATCTATATTACTATCAGATTTGTTATGAGATTCTATTATTTCCTTTTCATTGCTTCGTCCTTTAGTTGATATATCCTTGTAAGTATTCTGAATAGAAAAAAATATATATTATTTTATTTTCTCATTAAAGGATTGATACTTGTAATAAATAAACCAATATAGTAATAGTGTGAGCCAAGAAGGCTGTGGAATAACAGAGAGGAGGAAAGTCAGGGATAGAGAACCAAAGAACATATTTGGTAAATAGAAGGGCCAGTAGGCTATAGAGAGTGCCACCACTCTTCTTGCTTTATCCTTTATTAACGCGTGCGCATTAATTCCCTGCCTTTATCCCCTGGTGTTTGTATATTTTGAAATTCAACATATGGAGAGACTTGAAATTGAATAAAGGGATCCAAACTTTATTTAGACATTATGAGGAACAGGTAAGTTTTTTTACTAGATATTCAAGATAAATATTGGCCATACCTATCTGAAATTATGTGTTACCTAAGTTCCATATTAGAGATATGTTATAGGTATGAGATATCTAAGCAAAATAGAGATATGTTACATTTCAAAAAAAAAAATTATAGTTAAAGTAATAAATAATTACATGAATTACTTCATTTATTTGACGTTGTTCAAAAGAATTTGCAGTTTGAAGATCAAAATGGCATATTTTGTAATCAGAATTCTTATTTTCACGTTTAATGCTGTCAAGTAAATGAGAAGCCTTTTCTATTTCGACTTGAAAGGTATCATTCTGGGTGATAGGATTCCAAATTATAGAATTTGATCGATGCCGCAAGTCCAAACCATCAGCTATGTGTAATGCTTTTTTCAAATAAGTAATAGCCTGGCTTGAATTGCCTAATGAATGATGCATTCGACCTAAAAATTTAAACCATTTATAACACAATAGATTTTGAAAATATATAATATAACATATAAAACTAATAGTACGTAATAATATATAACACTAATAACACACACATATATATATATATATATATATATATATATTATATATATATATATATATATATAAAAGACCTCAAGTAATGGTTTCATTTTCAGCAGAAAAGTAGGAAATCTAAGTTTTGTGTTTTCAGGAGTCATGTTTTTTGTTGAATAGGAAGTGATAACTAAAGAAATATTTCATTTAAGTTATTAACAATTACTTCATTGTAAACTAGGCAAAATTTACTTTAATTGAAAAGAAAGTTTGTCATTATAAAACCATTTAAAATATTTGAGCAGCTAAACTAACTTAAGTTCTGTTTTTAAAAACATCATAAGTTATTTGTGATTTTTTTAACTACACTACAGTTACCCCACTTTTAGAGATTTCCTATGACAGAGATCTGGAAGAAAAACACACTTTCATAACCAACTTACATGAAAAATATTTTTAAAATCGTTATTTTAAATTTTATTATTTTTATAAATAAAATATATATTTAGGCAATTATTTTATTTGAATACATCCCAGATCATGCAAAAACAAGAAATAAAAGCTTTGCAACAAGTAATTGTAGTAATTTTTGCAGAAAAAGAGGGTATTTTTTTGGTGACTGGATAGAAAATTATTTTCTTTACACAACTTACACAAATCTCAAATATTTTCCTAATAAACCTCAACTTAATTAATATGGACTTCAAGATTATTAAATGAGAAAGTTTTTCTTAAAGTTGGGGAACTGTAGTACAGTTGAAGAGTAATAAAAAAAAAACACAAATAATTTATGAATTTTTTTAAAAACGGAATATAGAATTTGTCATTGTTAAAACCATTTAAAGAGGTCTTTTGAGCGGCTAAACTTGGCAAAGTTTTTAAAAAAATCATTAATTATTGGTGATTTTTTTTTTTATCATTATCCATCTATACTACAGATAACCCACTTTTAGAAAAACATCTTTATTAGGAAAATTCTTGAGATTCCCCTCAAGTTGTGTAAAGAAATTATGTCAACTTCTATTCAGTCACCTAATAGTGCTTGTGTCTTCCACAAATATGACTATAATTAACTGTTGCAAAGCTTTTATTTATTGTTTTCAAATCTCTGTCATAGGAATTGGTCTAAAAAAAAACCCACGGTTTGCTATAGTTATTTTCATAAAAATGTAAATCGTAGAAGAAGAAACAGGAAATTTGTCACTTATAAATACTGATCAACTCCATTTATCGAGATCTGGAAGAATAATACAATTTCATAAAAACTTTATATGAAAGGTATTTAACAGATCATTATTATTTTTTTTTATTTATAAATAAAAAGTGTATTTAGGAAATTATTTTTATTATATATATATATATATATATATATATATATATATATATATATATATATATATATATATATATATATATATGTATGTATGTATATAGCCTTTATTTCTTGTTTTTTCATGATATGGGATACATATATATCCCATATCATGGAAAAACAAGAAATAAAAGCTTTGCAACAGTTAATTTTAGTCAACTTTTTTTAAAACACAGGTACTTTTAGGTGACAAGATGACAAATCACAACATTTCTTTACAGAACTTGAAGTGAATCTCAAGAATTTGCCTAATAAACCTCAGTTCAATTAATATGGACTTGAAATTTATAAAACAAAGAAGTTTTTCTAAAACTGAGGTATCTATAGTAAAGTTACATAATGATAAACAAAAAATTGCTAATAATTTATGATTTCTTTAATAACCGAACTTAGCCAAGTTTAGCCATTCAAAAGATTTAACAATGGCAAGCTCTATTTTTATTTGAAGAAAATTTTATCTGGTTTACATTAAAACAATTGTTAATTACTTAAATTAAATATTTCTTCAATTATCACTACCCATTCATCAAAAATGATGATTACTTAAAAAAAACACCTAACTTTGATTCCCTACTTTTCTGCTGAAAATTGGCTCATTGTTTATATGAACTTTTTTGTAGGCCTTAAGGTGTGCTATGACTGCTATAAAAATTTTCCTCTACTTACGGGACACCCTGTATACATTATAAAATATCTCTAATCTTCCAGTATTATATTTTAACATAATTATTTAAATTGGGAATTAGATCATTAAATTTAGTGACCAGATTCCAAATTTAAATAAATGAGTTAGTGCATATATGTTATTAGATAATTACATTTCTAAAAAAAATAATTGTATGGATTTTAGAAAAATCTTCATTTTTAGTATTATTTTTTATCTATTATAGCTATGGACCAGGTTGTTTTTCAGAGTTACTGCTGCTGTAAGGCGAGGTTCCATCTCACTAACCATTTCTTCATTTGAATAGTTTCCTACAGTTCCAACTTTTCATAAGATAGAGGATAGAGGACCATGAATGGAAAGCTTATGTACATGTACAAGTCTGGCAACATGCTTGTAAAATAAAAAATATCTCTTGAGTAATATATACTTATATGATAGTTATCATAAAAACATTAGAGTAAGATAGATTACTTTGAATATCTACACCAATACAATACAAAAATGTTTTCATACTATAATTTTTTTTATAATAAATATAATGTATAAATTAATAAAGGAGTGTTTTTTTATTTTACAAACTTTCCTTCAAAAATTTAATACATGTATATCTTATCAAATTTCAGCTGCTTTATCCTTACCAGTCTTGGTTCTACAGAGAATAATTCAGTTAACTTTGTTTCAAATTTATTCTACTTTTAAAATTTATATGAAAATGTAATTATGAAATTTTAATTTACACAACCTTCCTTAACAAATTTTTGTTCTGCCAATCAATGTTTGCTTATTTATTTTTAAAAATATAATATTTTAATAAATGCATTAACATATATCTATAACATACATATTCAAAAAATTCATATATATTTACCCAAACAGCTATACGCAACAGCTTTGGCACATTTATCATTTGACTGAACAGCAAGGGATAAGTTAAGATCTTGGAATTTGATAGCTTCTTGAAGATTACCAAGTGATTCATAAATAGTCCCAAGGTGAGAATAAGCTCGAGCCTGCAGCGTAGTAAGATTTATTTCATCAGCTATATTTAATTCAGATTGGAAGTAACATAATGCTTTACTGAATTCTCCAGTTTGCTGGTAAATAAGACCTATGCCACTCACGGCATCAGCTTCAGACAAATGATCCTTAATTTCTCTAAAATATAATAGGAAAAAATTATTTCAATTATTTTTTAACAAGTAAAATAAATCATTTTATCGGTGATGTTTTGTGTGATTTGGAATGAAAATTATACATTTTATGATTGACACACATATAAGAGGTAATGAGATAATCAACAAAGTTGAAAAAAAAAGACCAATATTAAAAATGATATCACAAGCAATTTTTTGTATTTGGCTTTCCATCCAAGCAGTTAGGGATGTCCAGGGAGAGGTCAAAACAAATTTTTCTATGAATAATAATAATAATAATAATAATAATAAAGCTTTGTATCTATATATTAGTTTAGTATATAATAAGAATAACTATATTGTGAATAGTATGTATTGAGAGTGTTTAAGAAATAATGAAAAATTGAAAATGAAAAAGAATTTTATCCAAGTTATTTAAGTGGAGAATATGAGAAACCAATTTTAATCCTAAAAGATTAATTAGCATAAATAAGATATTTATATCATGAAAATAGTATTAAATGTTTTAAAAATATATAAGAATTATATTAAGTAAATAATGAAAAATTAATACAGACCTAGAAATAGAAATTACTTTTTCTAAACAGGAAATAGCTTGATCGATATTTCCCAGAGTTAAATACAAGCTTCCAAGTTCACCAAAACATGAAACTTTCATTTCAGAATTGTTCATTTCATGAACTACAGCAAGTCGTTTTTCAAAACAAATTAGTGCTTGTTCTAGGTTTCCTTGACGTTTGTTAGCATGACCTAAGCCTCTATATGCTCTTTCTAAATCTCGGCAACTTTTCAATTTCAAAGCAATAGACAAATGTTGTTCGTGGCATTTTATTGCCTCCTCCAGGTCTCCAAGTGCATCATAACAGTCCCCTAGATTTCCAAATGCTCTTCCCTAAAAAATTAAGCATTGAAACCACAGATCAGTAACTTATTCACAATTATTGTTTAATTGGTTGTAACAACTTAAGAGTACCTAATTATAGCAATATTGTGATAGATCAGACAATATATTATGTATATTATATGCATATTATCATATATTCAAATAATATTACATCTTCAAGTAGTTTTGATAAAATAAACAAAATTTAACAATTTATTAATTATTGTTATCAATAATCCATAACGAACAGGAAAAACACCATTAGCTGTACTGAACTTAACTGAACCTCCAAATGCCATCCTGGCATTGTTAAAACAGCCTAGAAACCTTCTGGGCACGTCCAGACCATTCCCTCTAATTTCATTGGTCCAATGAATTCTCGAATTATCATGACCTTTTGAATTTGACTATAACTTTTGATTTTATATATACATACATACATTTTATATATATACTAGAGACCAACCGATATCGAAATTTTGGCTGATACCGATATAAATAATATAACGATATATGGCCTTTTCTCCCCTTTTCTTTAAGGTTTGTACAGTTTCACATGGAATATCCTACTCATTGCTAAATAAAATAATTAATCGCTTTATACACAAATTTTGACCAATAAAATAAAAATAAAACTATATTTCAGCATATCGGCCTTTTGCTCCTATATGTCTGGTTCCGTACAGTATCGTAATTACAAGATGAAAGTACCAATCATTCATCTAGGGCTAAATCTATATATACACTTCAGCCGATAACAATATTCTAAAAACCAATACATATACTGTTTTTTATCCTTCTTTCCCCAAAATTCGAGCTTATACCAATATATAGTACTAATGGCCTTATTTTATCGAGATTCATAGAGATTAATTTGGATTATTATTTTTATTGCAAATAAATGCCTCAATCAATCATCAAGTGATCGACATGAACATAAATTTGAGCAAAGACCTGTATATCCGACCAGAGACTGGCTTCACAATTTTATTTTATCAAGATTGGTAGAGCTTTTTTTTTTGTGCTTCTATTAGTACAAAAAAATTTTAGTACCCCCATTGGTCCAATATATCAGCCTTACAATTGTAATTTATTATTATTCATAAACTATTATAATTTATTATTATTTTATCATGATTCGTATATAGATAAACCTAAATTTGAGCAAAGAACTATATATCGGCCTTTTGCCCTTAATTTGTTGAGTTTGACCTTTTATTTATTTATGATCAGCATCTTACAAATATTTTTTCCTCCTATTAGACCAATATATTGGCCTTACAATCTTATTTTATTATGATTCATTGAGTTCCAATAGAAATATTATTTATATTGATAATAAATGTGCCATTTAGTCGCCAAGGAATCAACATAAACATAGATTTGAGCAGATTCCGACATTCTAAGGATGAATATATCAGCCTGATGAACTCATTTTATTGAGATTGTTAGAGTTTTACCATTTTTTTTATATATTCATTTTTTTTTGTTTGTCCTCCCCTTACCCCCATTTGAGCAGATTTTATTCCAAACTTCGATATATTGGTCTTACGACCATATTTTATCGAGTACATTAATGAGTTTTTATACATTAAACTAATTTAAAAATATATATATTACCTTATCAACTAGAGCAGTAGGTATTGATAACTGTTCTAAGGTTGCAAGCTGTTGCTCTAAAAATCCTATTGCATCTTCGTAATGACCCATATTTAACCTAGCGATTCCTAAGTTTCCAAAAGCTTGAGCTTCTATAACACTTTCCCTGAGTTCTTTAGCTCTCTCTAGTTGATCTTCATAACATTTGATTGCATTGGTATAATTGCCTAAGGACATATGCACTGCACCCAAGTTACCATGAGCTCGACATTCACCCTTCATATCATTAATTTCTTGCCTCAATGACAGCTCCTTAAAGAAAAGAAATTATTGTGCTGATGATGATTAGTTAGGAAGTATACATAAACCTAAGAATGTAGGGATGAGTTGAAGATAAAATATTAATAAATTTAAATTCATAAAAAATGTAATTATGGAACAATCACTTAACTGTATTGAAATTTTGAAAAACAAAAAATAAATAATTCCAACAAGGGGAAATTGTTCATACTATTTACATTTATTTTAATATGAAGGATTTTCCTGAAGTTTTAACAAGATAGTGTTACCAATAAATAATAACTCTAAAATAGTTTAGTAATCAATAAAGTGCTGTTATCAATAATAATTAAAATTATAATGTGAACAGATCCCTGATAGACTAAGATTCAGGATATGGAGATATGGAAGGATATAGAATATGGAGAATTGACAAAACTCTTACTAAAATTTTTATTACATTTAGAACAATTACCTCAGTTATCAAGCTAAGACTCTGCCTCATCCAGTTGATGCTGAGAAATTGATTTCCTAACTAATCACTGTTGAATGGATATCTAACTCTATCAACAATTTTTTGAGGACTATAAAATTAATTAGATTGGATAATGGCTCTGAAAGTATTCTTTTTGCACCTGAGCCCATTTGTGGACACATAAATTCATTATTCAACCAATTCACTTAGTATATGGAAGTTGGCTAAAAATATTAGCCTACATTAAGACCGTGCATTAGACAATGCGTGTAACAGACAAAAAATATTTTTACCTTCCAAAGCCACAGAAATATTATCCAAAAAGAACCAAAGCAAGTTAAAAAGTACCTGAGTATGAAATCCAAGAGCTTTATCAAAATGACGAAGCATTCGATGGGCTAATCCAAGATTTCCATAGGCAGCTGACTCTAATGCGTGGTCTCCACTTTGCCGGGCAAATGAAAGTTGCCTTTGATACATTTTAGTGGCTTCTTCTACATCTCCCATTTTCATTAAAACGTCACCAATATTTCCCATAGCTCGAAATTTTCCAGAAAGATTTTTTGTCATATGAGCAATGGCTAAATAAAATAAAATAAAATAAATTAATAATCCATAACAAATAAATATTCTGCAGAAAAAAGAAAACTATTTTTAAATAAAAATTTCAATAAATGAAACAGATATACTTACTTAAAGTTAAACCTAAATAATAAAACCAGATAGTAGTTCATACCATGTTTATATCAGAGCAGGAGCCACAAAAACAGTAGTTAATGAACAAAAAAGGTATAACATACTGTTAACAGCCATTCCAGAGGTAAGGTGGCCAGATGGTGGCAAAACCATTATTGACGGCCATAAACTATTCTACTCCAGGAGAAATGATAAAAATGCGACAGCCGGCATAGGATTTGTAGTAAGTAAGTCAATCATAAACTTCACCCCGACAAACAAAAGGATGAGCGTATTATGAGTTAAGGATTGCTGGTTTAATATCATGATAATTAACATGTATGCACCAACCAAAGACAAAGATATGAAGAAGTGAAGGATGATTTCAACAATCAGTTGGAAAATATTGTGGACCAAGCTCATAGACATGACATAAAATTAATTATAGGTGACTTCAATGCAAAGATAGGACGAAAACACCCAATTCAGTCCCATTATCGAAGGCCAAAGCCTTCACAAAAATAACAATGACAATGGAGTAAGATGTATCAGTTTGGCAGCAGCTAAAGGTATAGTAGTCAGTAGTAGAATGTTCTTACACAAGGATATCCACAAGTGCACCTGAATTAGTCCCAAAGGAGCGAAAAACCAAATTGACCATGTGCTGGTAGACAAGAGACATCAGAGCTCAATGCAAGATATAAGAAGCTATCGTGAAGTAGACTGTGATTCAGATCACTCTCAGTTTAGAATTAAACTATGTCAGAGACTGAAGCGAATTCACAAAACAGGAGATCAAGTGGGAAGAAGGAGGTACAAAGCCAGTAATTTAAAAAATCCTGAAGTGAAAACCAAATTCCAACTTAAGCTGAAAAAAAAATTGGAACCCGTAGATTCGGAGAGCCTCATGGTGGATCAACAACTGGAAGGAAATAGAGAAACGACTAAAATAAACAGCTAAGGAAGTGATAGGTATTCAGGAGAAATGAAAAGCTAAGATGTGGTTTACAGAAGCATGCAAAAAGGCAGTAGAGGAAAGAAGAAAAATAAAAGTCCTCTGCCTAGCTACAACTGATCAAGTTGCTCAGGACAAGTACACAGCTGCCAAGAAAAAGGCAAACAAAATTTTAAGATGGGCAAAAAGGGAATTCCTCAAAGAAAAATTGCAAATCAATGAGGACAACTGGCAGGCTGGAGATCTATGCGAATTCTACGCAGACATTAAGAAAGAAAGGGTAGGATATAAAGCAAAAAAGACACAAATGCAAGGAAAATATGGCATTCTGACAGCATCTAAAGAAAAGATATTGAACATCTGGAAAGAACATTTCCAGGAACTTCTACATCAAGAGGACCCCCCATATGAAGAAAACGTAGACCACATTTTAGGACATTGACCCAGAAGAGGTTGAAAAACCAAATATACTGGATGTATAAATAGCTATCGAAAGGCTTAAAACAAGAAAGGTCCCAGGGATAGATAACCTACCATCAGAACTGTTTAAAGATGGAACTTAAGAGTCAAGCTACTACAATGAATCCTGTAAATATGGAAAGAGGAAAGGATACCTGAGGCTTGAAATACAGGCCTAATCTGTCCTATCCTTATGGGCGGGATGGCCAAATGGGCTAACACGTGTGCACTGCACTGCTGTTGCCCGGCAACCTGATATATAAGACATTGATAAAAAATAGTCATGAGTTTATGTCCCGGTGCTGGGGGAGTCTTTTAAATCCCCGCCCTCACCCCCTGGTCCCGTAAAACCCCATACAGCCTTAAAAGCAAGGAAGGGGAGGGGAAGAGTGTCTCAGTTCAGATATTTTGCTCTCTTAATATTCCTGATTTTTATTACTTCTTCACATTCCTGATCATACCAGGAAGTGGGAGTAACTCTCCTATCTTTCTTGCAGCATTGATTGACAGCTTCCTCTATTACTTGTTTAAGTTTGTTCCATTCTTCCTGCATGCCCCTGCCATTTTCACTTGCTGGTATATTCTCAATCCCTCTTTTAATGCAGTTTTGAAAAATACTTTTTACCTCCACCCTATTTATTTTGTCTTTTTCCCAACTGTGCCTCTGGTCATAATTTCTTCTATATGACAAAATAATAATTTCTTCTATATTATATAATTATTTCTATACTAGCAATATCCTACTAAATCAGATATATCTGTATTATGAAGGTATAATAGGGGTCCACCAAGCTGGATACAGAAGAGAAAAGAGTACGCTATATCAGATTTTCATCTTAAAACAAGTGCTTGAAAAATTAAAGTAAGTAATTCAGGACGTACACATCAACTTCAAAGCAGCCTATGATTTCAGGGGCAGAAACTGTCTTTGATAGGTCATGACTGAACTAGGAGTTCCAGGAAAGATGGTGGGTTTGACGGAAGAAGGTAATTTCATTACAAAAACATAAAACTTTAAATCAATTTTATTTAGTAAAATAATAAATTTTAAAATAGATAAAGAAGATAAATATTAAAATAAAAAAATTGTAGGCCTAATTTTCTTGGAACAAAAGTCAATAATAAAAAATAAAAATTTCTTTGGGTGGTAAGGGATCTTTAGTGAACACTGGAACTGGATAATTCTGATTGCTTCCCACTCCACAACTGAGAATATGAGGATATTTGGTTTTCCAACTGGAGTAGCATCAGATGGGATTGGGCAAGTAAATGTTCTTTCATAGCCACCTCATTTAATGAAATTGAAGAGAGATCTGTTCTTATATTTACTACAGATTTCAAGAATGAATGCTATCAATAGGTGTTGAGAGAGCTATTACGATGCATTGTTTTCAAGATATAAGTGAAAAAATAAATGATTTTCCCAGCATTCATACCAGGAAGCAGCAGAGACTTTCAGTACATTTACCTCCTAAGTACCCCTAAAAAATTCTGTAAGTCAAATGCTTCATTACCTTCCATGTACTCTACAACTCCTTTTTTGACTAGATTGAAGTTAAGTACAGCGTAGTTTGGATAATAAAAGATTTGTAAAAACTACAGTGATTTTAAACATGAGTAGTCAAACATAAAAAATGAAATAGTACAAACCTAGGAAATATTTTTGGCAATCTAAAGCGGTTTCTAAATTCCCCAGAGCAAAATGTGCCAATCCCAAATTGCAATAAGCTCTGCCCATTGTCATTTTATCTTGAAGATCTTTAGCTAATGCCAGGTCTTGGTCATAATATCTTACAGCTTCACGGTAATTATTTAAACAATAATGAGCATAGCCTAAGAAATGGCATGCTTTCGCTTCTCCTTCCACATCATGAAGTTCCTAAAAAATAATTAAAATGTTATTAATAAAAACATAGGAGAGCAATATTGACAGGTTAAGTGCTTTTGTTGAACATGCTGCAACATTAGGTTGTTCATTCCTGATAATAATGTTTAACGGTTCATGTTTTATGTCAGCAATTAATTATATTACAATAGCTAAGAAATTATACCTTGTCCCTGTACATGCACTAAAATAATCTTCATGTGAGGATGATTGTAACTGAGGGTTTTAATATTTTATAAAATTACTGAACACTTCATAGTGTATGAACGATAGTTTTTCGTTAGTATACATAATAGATCAGTTGAAAATATCGGACCATGTCAACAAGTATAAACTCTTAACAAAATAGCAATTAGGATATAAGAAGGATGCCAAAGGATGTAAGGAACTGTAAAGTATTAGATTTATTCATAGCTTAGAAATTCTTTCATTGCCTGGATTGATTACCAAAAAGTGTATAATTCAGTTCCTCACAAGTGGCTAGTAGAAGTACTAAACATGTACAAAATAGATATTAAAATAGTAGAGCTATTAGAACATCTAATGAAGACCTGGAAGATGAACTTACACTTACCTAAATTTGGTCATTCCAATATTAGTATACCGATTAATAGAGGAATGTTTCAAGGAGACTTTAAGTCCATTACTGTTTTATCTGGCATTAAAACCGCTAAGTGAATTGTTAAATGATTCAGGAATGGATTACAGACTCGATAAAAATGGAACCAGATTATCTCATGCTTTATACATGGACGATTTAAAATTGTATTCCAAGAGTAAAGAAGAATTTGAGGACATGATCAAAATGGTAAAATCATTTAGTAATACAGGCATCACTTTTGGAATGGACAAGTGTGCTATAATTCATGTTAAAAGGGGTGACGTAATGAATAAACTAGACACAAAACTGATTAACAATGAAACAATAAAAGAAATAAACAATTCAGATTCTTACAAATATTTAGATTTCAGCCTACTTTTAAAATTTAAGAAAAGTAGTAAAGATAACTACAAAGAATTCAAGAAGAGAATAAAAATACTACTACTCAAAACGTACATCACATCTAGTAATTTAATTAAAACAATAAATTCATGGGCTATTCCTGTGTTGACTTATTTTGGCGTTCTAAAATGGTCCAATACGGAGTTGGAGGAAATGAATCATTTGGTAAGAGTTCTTTATACCTCAGCCAGAAAACGACATCCCAAATCTTCAATTGAGAGGATGTACTTGCCTTGGAAAAAATGAGGAAGGAGCCTTGTCTGCTTATTAAGAAGCTGTAGAGAGCAAGAAAATAATTTAAGGTGCATTTTCCAACTAAGAAACTCTCCTGTATGGTCAGTAATAAAATTGCTGGATAATGTCTACTCAGCTTTAAACTTAGTTTCAACGGAACCTAAGGAAGTCCCTGCCAAAGAAAATCTGAATGAAATTTTGAAGAGTAAAGCACTACAAGGTTACTTTTACAATGCTTTATCTCAATTAGGAATTAACTGGGAGGCCTCTAATTAATGGCTTAAGAAAGGATACTTATTTTTTGAAACTGAAGGGTATATTTTGGTTATACAAAACCAGATAGTACCCACCAATGCTTTCAAAAAATATATATGTGGAGAAGATCTAACTGACCGATGTCGCCTATGTAAAAATGGAATCCTGCATATTTCATCGGGATATCAAGTGTTGGCAGGTAAAGAATGCCTCACGAGACACAATAACCTGGCTAAGATTGTTCATCAAGCCCTGGCCTCATTTAATAACATGACAACAGGCAAGGTTCCTTTATCGATATGAGCCCAAACCGGTGCTGTCAAAATAAAATAGAATAATATATTGGGATCGATCTATAATTACAGACTACACAGTAATAAATAATAAACCGGACATAGTATTAATTGATCGGAAGACAAAAGGTAGCTATGTCATTGATATCACGGTCCCAACCGATGGTAATATAGGAAAGACTTTATTTTAAAAATATTAGAAAATATCAAGATTTGTGCCAAGAGCATTTTTTACTGACTGGATCAAGAACAAGTATATCCGATTGTAATTTCCAGCAATGGCCTCATCCTAAACAATACCATTATCTGTGTAAAAAATTTGAAACTGCTAGAGAAAGTGTTGGACAAAAAGAGCAAAAAGCAGTTTAAACAAAAAGCACAGCGAACATCTTCAGGAAGTTCTTAAACATAGTTCAACTTTTGAGCCTAACCCTTGACCTTGGTGAATATTTCTGGCAAAAGTCAAGAGAGTGCGAAATTCGAAAATAATAATAAAAGTCTTAGCGAGCCCAAAAGTTCGATGCCGACACCACCAATTGCTTATTACACACCTCCCTCCACTGTTCACTGTCCAAACCCTGTCCCTTCTGATCAGCTTTAACACAATCTTCCCATCTTCACTTTGATCTACCCCTCGGACGTTTACTATTTGGTACAGCAAATATTAATCTTTTAGGAATTCTTTCACTACTAAGCCCAACAATTTTACAAGCCCATTTGATTCACTGCGATGTATTCACCTCAATTATATTAACCAGATACAGTTCATGCAATTCGGCGTTGTGTAACCGTCTGAAGTCTCAGGTTAATTCAACCTTCTCCGGTCCGAATATTCTACACAATAGTATATTTTCAAAAACCTTAAGGCGTTCATCTCTTAATGTAAGTGGCCACATTTCGCATAAAGAATTGTAGGTAAGATAGTGTTTTTATGGATTCTAATTTTTAAGTTTCAGAACAAGAGGCACGAGACAAGTAATTTTGTCACAGAAAAATAACAAGCATTTCCCGCCTTCAGAATAACCTTAATCTTCTCTTCAATTTAGATTTTTCTAGTTATCGTAGACCCTAGATACCTAAACTTCTTTACGTTTTCAAACGTATTAACTTCTGTATCGATATCACCGGCAATGTCGACATTTTTGCAGCTAATCATACATTTTGTCTTATACCTGTTTATTTCTTTACCTTAACACTGTCATCAGCTTTCATTAACGTTGTCTTATTTAGTTTGATAGTTTCTGTGTCTTCGCTTAAAAAGATCAGATCATCCGCATAGCCAAGCACGGGTGTTGTCCCACCGAGATCCAAATCCTTCTTTAGTACACATTACCTCTCTAATGGCATGTTCTAATGCCAAATTAAATAGAACAGGTGAAAGGGAATCATCTTGTTTTAAACCTGAACAAACCTAAAATTTCTCAGATAAATAATAACCGATTCTAACTTTATTGAAAGTTTCGGGCATACACATCCTAATCCTAACTTATTTTTTTGGGATCCCGTGCTCAATTAGAATATTATACACTTTCTGGCGGTCAATAGAATCGTAAGTCTTTTTGAAATCGATATACAGCTGGTGAATAACATCATTCTACTCTAATTTTTCTCCTATATTTGCTGTAAAAAAAAATTTGATCAATAGTCGAATGGTTTCATCTAAATCAACATCGGTAGTCACTGATAATTTCCTCGGCATATTCTATAATTCAACTAGTTAAGATTAAAGTGAATATTTTATAACATACCACAAGGAGTTAAGTTCCTTGATAGTTATAATCCGTCCTCGGACCCTTTTTGTCAATCGGAATAAGAATAGATTCTGTCCATTCTTCAGGTAATTTTTCATTCTCTCAGATCTTTTTAACCAACAAATGTATGTTAAAAATTTCAGCTTCCCTGCATGCCTTAATTAGTTCACTAGGAATATTATCGGTTCACGCTGCTTTATAAGATTTTAATTTTCCAATAGCTACTTTAACTTCTTCTTTACTCAGTTCTTTTATTTCTTTCTTTACTCAGAAGGAGGAAACAGATCATAATTTCCCGAAATTTAAAATATTGTCTAAGTGGTTCTTAAACTTATTTCATATGTCTACCGGATCGGTCAGAATATTGCTATTTTCATCCCTAATTCCAGACTTGACGGACCCTAAACATTTATGTGATCTGCTTGTACCTTTGTACATGTCCGTTACCTTATTTTTGATTCTATTAGTTTTTATTTTTCAGATACTCTCTTTTTATATTTTTGTCATTTCATTCTTTGAGGTTTGGAAGTGATCGAGATCCTCTTCGCTAGGATTATTTGGAGCTTTTTATTTGGCAGCTTTTCTTTTATCACACATGTTCATCAAACCACGGTTTGTTCTTATTTTCCTTTTTCCCAAGACACAAGTTACCTACTGCTTTATCAAGTTACCAACCCATAACTTGTCTATATCATTGCGGTCCTTGTCAGAAGGTTCTAAAGTTTTATATCTATTCATAACATCTACCTCGAATTGAGTTTTAATTGATGAATTTTTTAATTTATACAAATTAAAATTCTTGATGTAGAAACAGTTTTTTTTTTCTCTTTTTTATATTACATTTTTGTCGAAGTTTCGCGATTACTAATACATGATCTGTCCCACATTCTGCTCCACGATAAGACCATACATTAATTATGCTGCTTTGAAGGTAATAAGGTTGCCACGGTATCAAGACATGATCCATTTGATTTCGTCTTTGCGAATCCAGTGATGTATAGGTATATTTATAAATATCCTTATGTTTAAATGTAGTACTTTTAATTATCAGGTTTTTCAAGATGGCAATGTTTATCAGACGGATCCCATTATCATTACTATATTCATGCAAACTTTCTTTACCAATCATCGGAAAATAAATTTCTTCCCTTCCCACCTTTGCATTTGCGTCATCTACAATTATTTTCATGGAGTTTATTAGATTATTAGACAATTATATTCGCGGTAGTTTATCATAAACCCATTCCAGTTTATAGTAAAATTTGCATTTGACTTCATTGTAACCGTCTTTGGTCGGACAATGTATGCTTATTAACATGATTTTAAACCAACGTCCTTGAAATATGGCTACCCAAATTCTATTATTAAAGAATTGTACTTCTCTCAAAGTGGATAGCAATCTATTCCTAATTAGAAACTCGGTACCTAAAAAATGATTCTCCCTCCCTCCGTACCAAATAGTGTACTTTCCTTCCCTTTTTGAGCCCTCCCTTGGCCAGCAAACCTCTTGCAGAGCCACGATATCCAAATTGTAACCATAAGCCTCATTTGGGACCAATTTTAATCCACCTGTTGAATTCAAACTCTTTTCATTCCACGTAGCAATACCTAAATCTATATTTTTCAGCGCCATGAATCCCTTAGAGTAGTCCCCACCCGGAGACCCGAACGGAGGACTAGTTTACCTCCGAATAATGATTATTTCACCATATAGAGATCCATGACTAATTGTGGTGTATGGTGAACTAAATATATGTGAGTAGGGCATTTAATCCTACGTCACAACCCTTCAGCAAGTCTGGAGGGCCCCTCTCATTGTTGGTTAGTGAGTCCATTGTACTGCACCAAGAGAAACTTCCAAGGAATTTCCACCAACCATCCCCAGATCCGCCACCCGTGGGACACTCCCCATATGAGGAAATGATAAAAAATAAATTAAAAAAAAAATTAAATGTAACTTGATGATTAATTGTTAATGAGCAGTTATAATTAAAGAATCAAATAAATATTACATAGATGCGGAAGTTTGAATGTAAAGTAGGAGGTGGAATAAGAGTTGTTTGAAGGAATTTATGGATGAGGATTGATGTTTGGTAATACATAAAGAATTGCAGAAGAAGGTAGCACAAATGATGAAGGATATGCTGGAGGAAGTAGTTTTATGGGAAGAGATATATAAATCAGTAGGTTGAGATGTGGTATTAAGAGAGTGGATAGAAAAACATAGAGTAAGGAGTTTTAGGATGTAGAGAGGATTTTTGGTTCCTAGGACTCGGAAAAGAAAAGCACCAAGAAGGAATTGTCGTCGGGAGGTAGGATAAAGCCACTTCAACTTGGTGTATCAGTAGAAAACATGAGAACAACTGGAAAAATCAAAGAGAAATCTTATAAAACAGTTCATGGGTGATAAATATTTAAGACGCAGTCTTTTAAAAAAAATGTTTTAAAATACTGCGTCCTGAATATTTATCACCTATGATATGTAGAACAGTCGACTAGCTTCCTTCAATAAAACAGTTCATGAGTCTCTTCAATTTTATCTGCCGTCTTTTAGACAGACCTTTATATAACAAGCAACCATAGTCTAAGTGGGTAAAAATGAGGGAGGTTATAAGGAGCTGTCTGGTTTTTTGAGGAATGTAATTACAAAGTCTTAGGAGCTGTTTAGGAACAATTATGGATTTTCGTGTAATCGGAGAAACATGGTTAATCCAGGAAAGGTGCTGATCAAAGGTTACTCCTAGATTTTTGACTGTTGGAAGAAAATGGATGAAGCGGTTATTGAGGTAAAGTAGAGGACAGTAAGGAAGGGAACTAATGAAATACCTGGAGCCGATGTGAATAGCTTTAGTTTTTTCTGCGTTCAGCTTTAACTAATTTATTTCTGCCCATCTGTTGATGCAGTCGATATCTTTTAGTAGCTTTTGGGTAGCCTCAGGCATCTCGGTAGGTTGGAATGATTGGTAAATTTGGAAATCATCGACATATAAGCGGTGACGGGAGTGATTAATGGAGTCAGGAAGATCACTAATTAAACTTTAACTTTTATACATCACTTATCCATAATTTTTTAAAAAGATTTTCAAGTGAAATGTTGAGGATCTACTAATATAAACCTAATAATATACAATGTTCACTAACGTTAAATTGTTTTTTCAATGAGTTTCATGATAAATATTTTCGAAAAACTCAAACATTTTTTAAAAGATCTTTATTTTTTAAATCTTTATCTTTAAGATTTTCGGGCTGAAGCCCCCTCAAAACGGGAAAATATAACCATGTTTTATCAAAAAAAATAATCTCTTTAAGTATTATTGTTCATGTAATTACATTTAAAAGCGCTTTAGAAATCACTTAAACACCATTTCATATAGGTAGTTAGTTTCTTTCTTTTTTTCAAAAGTAATTATCGTTATTTTTATGAAAAAAAAGCTTTCGGGCTGAAGCCCTCCCCCCAAAATTAAATCCTGGATCCGCTAGTGTCTAGTAGTGGGGTATCAATAGTCCAGTTGGAGGATGATAAAAAAGAAAAAAAACTTTCAAATGGTTTTAATAATAATAAATTCTACTAGCATTTGAAATAAATTTTACTGTGAATATTTAAATATATATATTTCAATTTACTGTGAATCAATTGTCAATTATTTAAATTAAGTATTATTTTTTTAGTTATCTCTTCCTATTCAACAAAAAAGATGACACTTAAAAAACACACAGAACTTGAATTTCCTACTTTTCTGTGGAAAATTGGAACATTGTTTATATACATTTTTGTGTAGTTCTTAAGGTCTACTACAATCTCTTTTTAAATATTTCTCTTTACTTATGGACACCTACTATGCCCCAAAAAGATCTTACCACCCAAAGGGCACAGCCCATGTATCGAATGAACTACAATGTGTTGGGTATAAATTATGTGTAAGAATCTGCCAGCTAAAGTAGAGTGACTACTATAAGATAATAGAACGTCATATGACTCCTCCTAATGATGCCTCTTAATTCATATATGAAATTCTGTATTTTAATCAGTTAAACTCTCGGCATGTTTATGTTATTGTTTCTCTCTTTTCCCTCAACATCTGTTGTAATTAGTCCCTTGATCCATTCTTTACTGTTCAAGGCTGTCCACATTCTATTTTATTGTACTTATTATTATTTATTTAAAAAATAACAAGAATAGCATACCTGCCTCCAGTATTTTGTGGTTGTTTAGATAAATAACTCACAAAAATTTAAAAAATAGTAAATGTAATAAATAAAACTAAACTATGATAAATAAATAAATAAAATAAAATTTATACATCAGTAATAAACTGAGCTATTCCTTTATATATAGCTTTCTATTTCCATTCTTTTTTCCATGCATTGAACTCTATTATCATGTCACTTAAGTAATGTAGTATAATAGTTTTTGTGAATAGTAACTTGATTAACAATTTCAAATAAGCCAAAATTTAAGTATTCAATTGGTGGATTTATATTACATAGAATGTGCAAATAATTTTTAATATAAATATAATATATAAATATTTTGTTATATTAAATAAATAATAGTATAAGAATAAAAAATTAAATAAAAATAAAACCTGAGATAGCATAAGGTAGTTTTCATAATAAGGAACAGCTTGAGCGAATTCAGCACGAGAACTGTGACAATTGCCCAAATTTAACAGGGCACATGCCTCCCCTGCCGTATCTTTCAATTCTCGAGCAATATTTAAATGAGCTCGATAGTGAAACAAAGCCATTTCATGTGCACCTAAAGCCTGATATGCGACTGCTAGATTTCCATGTGTTGAAGCCTCTGAACTTCGGTCTTTTACTTCTTTGGATATCATTAGTTCTTGCTTATGATACTTGATAGCCTAAAACAAGGATAAAATTAAGAAATAACAAGGTTACATAAATGGACTTCTGCCGTCATTCAGAATTTAAAAATCTGCATCAACTCATGTAATGGTAAACACCATATACATGGAGTAGATCACCAGGCGGCATGTTTACAAACACTATATGGATTCAGACACCTTCCCTATCTGAACTCGTTAAGGGTTTGTAGTGGCCCTGGGGGCTGGTCCATTTCAAACCCTATAATGATTCAGACACCTTCCCTATCTGAACTCGTTAAGGGTTTGTAGTGGCCCTGGGGGCTGGTCCATTACAAACCCTATAATGATTCAGACATCTCAACTCTGCCTGCCGGCTGAGGAAGTTTTTTTCATTTAAAATTATATATATATATAAATTATAGCTGTATAAATTATGAATGTTATACATATATTTATATATAAACAAAATTATTAATTAAATTAAACTAAAAAGAACATTGTTCAACTAGTATCAATCAGTATCTACATTATTATAACAAAAAGTCTATATTATTATTTTCTTATTTAATTTTACAATTTATCATTTATTTTATTATAATCCTAGACATATTTTTTTTATAGTGTTATTGATTTTGATTTTTTCTAAACAGAACATAATTTTGTTAGTGTCAATCAGTATCTACATTATTTTAATAAAAAGTCCTAATTATTATTTTTTATAATTTATCATTTATTTTATTATAATCTTAGTTCTTATTATTTTATTACAATTTTTAAGAATTATTTGTACTTAGCACTTAGTATTCTTGCCTCTTAACAGTATTGTTTGCCAGTAAAAGAATATTTAAAACAAAATTAATATTTTTGTTTATATTACATATAATATTATTCAGCAATCTTTATTCTTAATTTTTTTTTTACATAAAACATAATTCAATTAGTATCAATATTTCATTATGATCTTAGTCCTTATTTTTTTATTAGTGTTATTGATTTTGATTTTTCTAAAAAGAATATTGTTCAATTAGTGACAATCAGTATCTACAATATTTTAAATAAAAAGTCCTTATTATTATCTTCTTATTTATTTTAAGTATTTATAATTTATTTTATTATAATCTTAGTCATTATCATGTTATTATAATTTTTAAGAATTATTTATACTTAGCACTTATTTCTCTTGCCTTTTGATATTATTGTTTGTCAGTAAAAATTATTTACAACAAAATTAATAATTTATATAATATTAATTTTAAATGGCTTAAGGTCCCCACCCAGCAGGCAGGTGTCTGAATCCATAAAGGGTTTGTAAATAAGCCACCAGGTATCTCTCCAGATGATAGGTTGGATAATTACAAGAAATGCCTGAAGCAGATAAAAATTATAATTAAAATAGTTTTACATTATATAAGATTAATTCTGTTAAAATAATTAACCTCACTCGTTGTTAAAAGAAAAATCGATATAAAGAGTGGTCTACAAAAATATTTTGATATGTTGGGGGTGGAAGTCACGCTAAACAGCCCAATATTTTTATAGGCCATATTTTTTTTCGATTTTTAATCAAATTAAAATATGAAGCTATTCACGAAGTTTTAGAAGAATGTTAATAATTTGTTAAAAAATTGTCAAATTAATAAAAAATAAAGTTGAATATTGGTTATATAATGGACAATTGCTGAAATAGAAAAAAATTATTACTTTTTTTTTACAATTAATTCTGTTCAATCAGATAATTAAAGCAGATAACAAAACATGCTTATAAAATAAAAATATACCTGTTCATAATAAGCCATGGCACTATGGGCATTACCAATATTCCCATAAGCACGACCCATACCAGCTTTATCATTAAGAGCTCTAGCAATATTCAGATGTGCCTGGTGTAATTTCAGAGCTGCGTCATGTTCGCCAAGTAACTGGTATACAATTCCCAGATTTGAACATGCTCTACCTTCTCCAACTCTATCTTTCATACTTAGAGCCATTTCCAACTGTTTTTCATGCCACTTTTTAGCCTGTAAACCAATTTTTTTTTTGTTAAAATATAACAATAATACATAAATAACCATTCGAGCTGATTTTAATAGAGAATTTGATACATACAAATTCATTGATTGATTCATTGATACATTTTTATTTTTTAATTCTTTATTATTTTCTTAAAAGTGTATACTAGTGCAAATAGCTTTAAGTGCCTTGTCATAGTATTAATTGTTTTGTATATAGTTTCGTTTTTTTTTATATAGAATGTTTACCTTATATTTTTTTTACATTATTTCTTTTTTTCGATTGATTTTATTTTGGCTAGATGTGATCTTTTAATTTTGTTCTATTTTGTTATTCTCAAGGGACTGTGTCCCAGAATAAAATTATTTTTCTATCTATCTATCTATCTAAATGGAAGATGACAAATAAATTATGGAAAATATTTAAAGAGGCAGTATTACACAGTAGGGCAACCAGAATCATTATCTGCGAGAATTAGTTATTATGAGGGAACCCAAAAGTTTCAGTAACGGGACTGTGGTAAGGAGGGTGAGTGGGAGATCCAATTCTTTGATGGGAGGTTTTGAGTGGAAACTCCTTCTGAGTCACTATGCGAAGTTTGGTTGCTTGAATAAATCCATTCATCCATGAGAATTTTTTTAGTAAAACATCTTTTTCTGTTTTGGAGAAAATGTGAGTTGGCTGACATCTTAGAACAATTTTCCAAAAAGAAAAAGCTGTGAATATAGTTTTGGTACTTTTTGTCTAGTGGGCCGTCCTGAAACCTCACTTCTTATCCATCTTATCTAACGTCATGTCACATAACCTCCCTCTTCTTATCCTGCCAAACCTTTGAGGTATTGCATTGTTTAGTTTTCAGTTATTCCCTTATTACGTTCACTTATTAAATTCTTTACTTTTGGCCCGTTTGTGTTTATTTTACATTTATTTTAAGTTTGTGGCCCCTTTGTGTTTATTTTTCATTTTTTTTCCATTTATTATGGATCTTCTTAGAATATGGGATTTGCCGTCTTCAGAAGAACAGGCAATTCAATATTTTCAAAATGTTGGGGTACTTGCCGATGTGAAATTGTGTGAACCAGGTCATCGAATGAAGTCCAGGAAGGCCAAATGGAGATGCTTTCGTTGGTCTTGTGACACAAAACTTCCAATAAGGAAAGGAACATGGTTGGAGGGCTCGAGGATTTCATTTTTAACAGCTTTAAAATTGATTTGAAGTGAAGAAATAAAATACATAGAGGAACTGCCAGACAACACCTCGATTCATATTTGTGCGAATTTTTGTGGCGGCGGGCTCACAGAGAAGAGGACCCGTTCCTCGATATTTTAAATAGCCTAAAACAATATTGCCTTCCAAAATAAATAAGACAAAAGGAAGTGAATAATTAAGTGAAAATAATTTGTACATATGTTGTTTATAGTGTTGATATTTTTTCTTTTCTATGTAAATATGTTCTTTTAAATGTGTTTTTTTTTTTCATTTTGATGTTTTATATGTACATATCTTCTTAAAGTGTTTTTTTATTATTTCATTAATATATGTGTCGTCAAATAAAAGTATATTTCTTGTTATTACATTTGTTTTTGTATCTGTTTACACTTTCAATAATACAAATTGTTTATGAAGTAGGAGAAGGCTTATCACTGCGTTATGGGAGTTATCAGTGTTCAGGTCGTAAACATTGGCAGATAGCAGTCAGTGGCGGCCCGCTAGACAAAAAGTACCATATTTTTTTATTGAGTGGGGAGAGGGGAAGAAAAAATGTCCACAAAAACTCTAGCGATGCTTAAAACAGCTTATATGGCTGATGCCCCCTAACAAAACACATGTTTACAAGTGGTTTTAACATTTCAAAGAGTTTATTGGTGGTAGTGGCGTGCGCACTACCCTACTGTCACCGAACCCCGTATGCCAGAAATGGCCAGGTAGGGGGATAAAAAAAAAGAATAAAAAAAAAAGCTAATAACTAAAATAAACTATTTTTTAAATAGTTTTAATTGCTAACAGGTTTTTACTTACTTATTTAAATTTTATTTTATTTTTTCAAAAAGTTATCAAACTGTATATGTGAATATAAATATAAGTTCTGGTTATTGGTAAGACTATTATGTTTAATCCTATCTAGATAATGTAAACAAGGCCTAATACTATATATAGAGGATTACTGAACAAATAAAGTTAGTCTTTTGCAAGCAACAGAGTGTGTTCTTTAGCATCCCTTTTTCCTATTTTTTTTTTATTATTATTTCTTTCCGGACATTGGTAAATGGTGCTGAAACTATGGACCTTTAAATTCAGTTGGTTAAGTAGTTTTTTGTTCTTTTCTTTCTTCCATTTTCTGTAAAAGTCAGAAATAATAAAAAGAAAAGATGGCAGACAGAGTAAGACACCAGTCAGTAATGACCACATTGCAGGCCACACCGCAAACCGCACTACCAGCTGCTCCATTGGCTCCACAACCGCCATTTACACAGCTATTGTCGGAAGTTTTAGCAGTAGAGTTTTCTCCACTGTCGACAGATACTTTAGCAGCGAGGAATGCTACTACATTGCAATGGCTGAAGGTTAGAATGGTGACATCGCAAGATCTGAAGAGAGCAATATCCGATCTCGAGAGGTTCGACGTTTGAGTTGGTGGGTTAAATCACTTCGTTCAGGAGAGCAATCGGGTGATATCACGGATACAAGTGAAATAAGAGGAAAACTTGATAGACTCAATGGATGCTAATGCATTGATAGCAGCTCTGGTGTGTCGAGTTAAGAGGAGTGTCTGAAATATGATGGTACAGGCACCTTGTGGGGTATCGTGAAGGGCAGACTGAAGAAGGTGTTTAGAGGGGGCTGATGGACTCCAGAAGAAGATATCCTGCCCAATATGCCTATTAATACAGTTAAGTACATTCATTTTTCTTTGATAAAATCTGATAAATATTATATAGCTTACCTGAATGTAATCTCCTGCGCATCGAGCAGCATGGCCTAAACCAGCAAAAGCTCTAGCTTCAACAGCCTTATCTCCTAACTCTTGAGCTATCTTCAAAACATTTTCATGGTAAATGATAGCTTGGGCGAAATTTCTCCTATAATGGTGGGAAGAACCAAGATTGCTGTATGCACGTGCCTCTTCTACCTGAAAATAATAAATTAAATGAATAATAAATAAGTTTTATAACAGTAAAGGGACATATAAAAATAGCTAAACAAGAATTAATAAGCTACATATTTTAATAATTGATTAAAATTATTAATAAATTAGACTAATATTTATTCTTAAAAAACAACATTTTATTAAACTATGTTATATCTAATATTGTAAAGAGTTGGCCCTATTCACATTGGCAATTTTCAAACAAAATTTCATACATTATGAGGTTGATAAATATTCAGAATTTGCAGTCTGTCTTTGTTTTATTTAAAAGATTTATATAAAACAAATCTATACTAAAAATCCTAATTATTTACTATTCTCATAATTTAAGAAAAAGCAGTCAACAAAAATATCCATCTCTAAAATTTCTTACATATTACAACCCTAGTCTAAGAGATTCCTACTCTCATACTGAAAAGTATTCATTAGCTGTTACTTTTATTTAAAAATTTATTCTTATTATTTCTGAGTAAGGTGGTCATTGTTGGATGCAATTTATTATAAAAAAAAAAAAAATTTTATACAACAAAACTCAGTTAACACAAATTTAAATAATAAATTTTTTAATAAATTATATTTTATTTAAATTAGCTAACATAATTGGTTTTAAGCATGGTCGAGAAAAGAGAATAGTAAATAAAAGAAAGAGGGAAAAATAAAAAGTGGACACTATGAATTAATTCTTAAAATGAAAGATTATACCTAAACTATTATTCACTTCTAATCAAATTTTATTCTTAAATTAAAATTTCAAGATTGGAGTACATCTGTTTGGGTTGCAAGAAGGTAATGGAAAAGGAGGGACTTAAACCAGGATGGGGAAGAAGCGTGGCGTTTAATATATGATAAGGAATTCTATAAGGTAGAAGAGTGAACAAGAAAGAAACATTCAAAGGTTTTAGTTCTTTGAGAAGGGATATAAAGGTCAGAAACGCAGGATCTTGTTTTCTATGGGTGGGCCAAGGATTTAAATTGCAGGAGACTACATGTGAAGGGAGGATGCTGAGAGGTAATAGTTTAGTAAAAGAAAGATCCAAGGAAATATTGCAGACAGGAGAGGAAGAGCCACTTGAACTCGTAAAGGTGAGACACATGAGACTGCCTTGAGGTACTAAGGAGAAATCTTGGAGCACAGTTCATGATTTAAAACCCTGATTATAGATGATCAAGTAGTTTTGATTCTTCAAGGACGTTGGAAATTTGTGATTGAGTGATTCTTTCCAGAGTTAGAAAAGGTTAGAGAGGATGCAGATTGGGTGGTAATGCAGGTAATATATGGTTGGGGTTTTTATTAATTGGCCAAACTATGGCTATTTTCCAAGAGGTATTAAATACTGACTTTCGGAGATAAAAATTGTAGATGAAAAGAAGTGCCTCTCGGATTTTAACAAGGCACAGTTTTAATTATTTAATGGGTATTTCATCAAATCTAATTGAGTTTGTGTATGATTTCATAAAAGATGTAGAAGAGATATAGTAAAAATAAAAATGATCACAGTTAAATGAAGGAACTAAGCAAAAGTGGGCAGAGGATGATAGAGTAATATTAAAGGGGGTAGATGAAAAGTATCAGTTCAATTTGTTGGGTAAAAATAACCACTTATACTGGTGAGGAAGGGGTTGCAATGATGCAAAGACAAGGTTGCCATTTATATTTAGAATAGGAGCAGAGGAAATGGCTGGTTATTTGTATCAAGTTATGGAGTACCCTAAATGCTTGATAGTCTTCTGTTAGCCTTGTTCGTCTAAAGTGTCTATGGGATGCAACATGTTTCTTTTTTATGTCTCTAGTACCTTGACACATACAAGGAGCAGGCTAGCAATGGAAAGTAGAAGTTTTAAGTGAGGTATGAATATCAAGGATATGGATGAATCAAAGGTGAAGATGTCTACCACATGATCAATAGAAGGGCAGGAATAAATTTCATACCAGTTCATTATTACCACATTATTTATTATTATACTATTTTATAATATAACATTATTTATTACCAAGTTACCCAGCCGTCTAGCAAGTCTTAAGTGTTGGGTATGACAATCAACAGCACTTTCAAATTCACCCATGGCCAAATAAACTGCACCAACATTACCAATCTCTCTTGCTTCTTGCAGACTATCACCCATTTGCTTTACAAGCTGAACACACTGTTTATGAGAAGCCAAGGCATTAGGGTAATCACCTATAGCTGTATACACATGGCCTAGACAAGAAAGTAAAATATAATAGCATTAACTATAAAATTGCATTATGTTCAATGATATAACATGGAATAACAAAAATTATATATGCTACGGTAAATGTGATAAATCTGGTGATTATAAATATTCCCCCAGTTATCATATACCAGGTGTGTAAATATGAAACCAGATTTGTCCATAGATGGCTCTGGTTGTTAATGTAGTAAATTAGTTAAACCATATTATTGGTATAATTTTGTTTCTTCCACAGCTTTTTTTTTTTTTTTTATTTCTTTATGACGTTTACAACTGTATTACATAAATACATCAAGTAAATTTGGACATAATTGATATAATGACATGAATACACTTGCTGAGTAACTACCCAATGGTAGCACTCTAATGATATGACTACATTAGGAGATCACGGGGCCATCTTATTTTCAGACGCCTCGGAGGGTTATCAGGAATTGAAGAGGAAGCAAGGTTAGAAACGAGAGGGTTGGGATTAGGAGAATTGGGAAGTAAGGAGCATTGAGGATTTTATGAAGCATTGACGATTTTGGATTGTAAGGATCGGATGCGAGAGGAATTTGATGGTTTAGTGGAGCCCCATAGCTCAACTCCGTAAGTCCAAATAGGTCTTATTATAGTCAAGTATATGAGTCTTTTGTAATTAATGGGAAGTTTAGAGCGTTTGTCTAGTAAGTGCTGAAGTAATCGGAAACGTCGAGCGGTTTCTTGTCGTTTCAGTCTAGTATGAGGATTCCAAGTTAGTTGTTTGTCCAGGTGGAGTCCTAGGTATCGGATTTGCTCAACAGGGATAAGTGGAGTATTGTTAAAGGAAACTGTAGGACAGGAAGTTGTTGGTTTACGACGAAGGGTAAAGGTAATTTGGTGGGATTTATTGGAGTTTATTTTAATTCTCCAGTTTTGACACCATTTTTCTAGATTTATGATGTGTGATTGAAGCATTTGGGATGCAATTGCTGGGTCATTGTTTACTGATAGGATACATGTGTCATCGGCATATGTGGTGATGACAGTGTTGGGACAGGTAGGGATGTCAGCTGTATAAACTGTATAGAGGATAGGACCTAGGATACTACCTTGAGGAACACCAGCGGACTGGGAAAAAAGGGATGAATAGGCGAAAATAGGAACTAAAATCCCAATCTTGTAAACTAAACAAACCATTTTGAAATACAATAAAGAAAAGCTGGTTAAATATAACATAAAACAACAAAGGAACTCAGACTGGACTTTCAATACTTAAAATATAAGGACCAAAATTATTAAGCTTAATATTGACATTGCAGCTCGATAGGAAATCTGTTGCAGTAGCCATGGTAGACTTAATAAAAAATAATATTCATTATTACATAGAGGATCAAAAAAGACTGGCCAAAGAGGGGCCGGTTTCATAAAATCTAAAGAGATGCAGCGTAAGTTGTTGCTAATAGAACCAATGAATAATTGATTACATCAAAAAATACTCCAGAAGGGTAAATTAAAAAAATTTACCGTATTTTTATCCTATGCTCCTACTGAGGAGAGTTATGATGGAGAGAAGAACACCTTTTACAAAGAGCTAGAAAGAAATTGGCGAGCTACACCTAGATACAATGCAAAAATTACTTCGAGCAACTTGAACGTAGAGGCTGGAAAGGAGAACTTTAAAGGGACAGTTTAGGGAATTACATGTGATACATGAGCAGACTAATGAAAATGGTATGCATTTATGTCAGTTCGACGAAGCTAATGACATCATAAAGAGTACCTAATTTCCCTATCAAAAGGATTAATATGGGCTACAGAGAAGGTGCCAAATGTAAAGAACAATAGGGAGATCATTTTTTATAAATTTTTATATTTCGGTTAAATCTTTTATTTCATATATTCCAAAATACAAACCTAAACTAGTAAGAGCAGAAGCAGCAGCTTGCGTATCTTTACACTTCATGGCAAGAACAAGTTGGTAACGATGTGAGGTAAGAGCTTCTCTGTAGCTACCTTTACTAAAATAGGCAGAACCTAGATTACCATGAGCTCTACATTCTCCATTTGTGTCACCCAATGACTTAGCAACGGTAAGATCCTGCTGCATATAACTGATTGCCTAAAAAACAAAAATAATAGTATAAAGCAGTAAAAATTAATAGTAATAATAGAAAACTAAAATCTTTTATTAGCACAAATAATATTTTTTTTAATGATCTTCATAAAGAAATAATTATAGATTTGTATCTGCTCACGGACACACACAAATATATATTACTATGGAAGCAAAACTGTCTGCTGCTTCTCAGACCAGTGTTTGCTGTGTAACAACTGTTGATATTTCTAAGTCCAGGTAAAGGAGAAATCCTCTTTGCAGCCAGATTTAAGATCTATGAACCAATAACCCATTCAATAATAAATAAGAAAAAATAAAAATGTTTAGAAAATAATGAACTTTTTTTAATGTTCTAAGATTTGTCTAAATCAGGAATTGGAATTTATTTCCAACTCTACTACCAGTCTGATCCTACCAATTCAGCCCACTTCTATTTCATCTTCCTTATTGTGCGTTTCACGGACATCAGCTGCCAAATCATTTGTATTATATCTCTTTCTATAAGAAAGTATGTAATATCTTCTTCTAATCAAATGCTATTAATTTTCAATTTTACATCCTTTCTTTACTTACTACGGAGCTTCATAAAAAGCAGACAAAAACATAATCATAAAATTGAGAGGTTACCATATTAATTCCTACATTAAAAAAAAAAAATAACAACAGAGAATGTCAAAATCATTTGGGTATTTTGAAGGCTATATCTTTATAAAGCTATATCTACAATTATATCTCAAGCAAAGGCTCAGATTAGAAATTTTCATTTGAGATTTAGATGCTTAGCTCCAGTTATTAATAATGTAATAGCCCTAACCAACAGCAGCTGGGATTTGATTCATAATATTTAAGCAAAATTTTAAAAAATATATAAAGGAATCAATCTTGAGAAACAAAAATGGGAATTGGCGGGATGCCTCAGCGAGAGATAAGTCATCAGAATTATAGACAAACCTATTGAACAGGCTCAAGAATTTTAAGATCTAGAAGAATTATTACTAGTTTAATACTTACATTTTTTTTTATTTGTTCCATATGCCTTTCTTATAAACCATGTAAAATTTTATTTTGACATTTAATATATATCTTTTAAAAAGTTTTCTAATAGTAATCTTAGATCATTAATGATAACAGCTTTCCTTTAAATGATTAGTTTTATTGATGAGGACTTTTCATTTTTTTTTTTTAAATATAAAAATCAGAGTTCTATCCATATCCGCAAATATGTATATATTTTTATTTTCAAGTTAATTTATTATTAGCCATATTTACACCAATTTTTAAAAAAAATTATTGTCACTTAATGACTACTCATCACAATGACGACGTTTCGGCTCGTCGAGCCATTTTCAAGTCTAAAAATTTTTTTCATTTACAATCATATATTAACTTTAACATATTTCAAATTATAAAGATTCTTATTATGTACCTAAAATACCCATCATGTACCTGTCCTTTTCACTTATGCGAATTGCAAGCATCTACTTTTAATAAAATTCCTTATTATTGTCATGTTCACCTTTAATTATTTAACAACATTATTATTACTCAATTCTTTACTATTAAATGATTCAAATAAGTTAAAATTACCTTGTTTCTGAGTCACCCACATGTCATCCATCTCATTTCTATTCAGTGACTGGTTATTCTTATAGGAGTAGGGGAAGACTATTTATTATGAACCTATATATAATGCTGTTTCTCAATATTATATGTGGATCTATTTTAAGTAATATTAGCTGATTTATTTCAAATTTTGATTTTTTCAATTGAACTAGCGTAAAAAGTATTCATATTATCTACGTCTGTATGATTATTTACTGAGTTTTTTAAGTTTTTAGTTATGTATATTGCTTCTTTAATTCTATGTTTATTCGTATTTCTTTCATTATGTAGGACTTTGGCATTTTTGAAATCAAATTCATGTTTAGTTTGCATATTATGTTGAGAGAGTCCAGTAGCTAATTTAATTTTTGTGTTTTTTGAATTACAATTTTATTTAAGCTGTTTAAGCCTTTTTTCAAACCATTGGGATGTCTGTCCAAAATATGCTTTGTTGTTGCAATTTTTACAATTTATTATGAAAATACGCAATCTCAAATTCGACACTATTTTTATAAAAAGATACCCCGAAAACATGGTGTATATTGGTAAATTTTTTATGTTATTTCAGAACAATGTTATTTCTGAAATATTCATTTCTTGATTTTTGCAATAATTTATTTATGAAATAAATAATTCTGAAATAATAGTTATGAAATAATTTATTTCCAAAATAACTCATTTCGAAATAATTTACTTTATCCCAAAGAATGTCAGAATAGTGAAATAATTATTTCAGAAATAAATTCAGCAGTTATTCCATCAAGATTATTTCATTGACAGTTTGAAATATTATTTCAGAAATAACCATTATTCCCGAAATAATTCATTCGTGGAATAACCATGTGAATTATTTCAGAAATAAATTATTTCAAGAGTGCCCAGGTCAAATTTATATTATATAATTATATTTTAGTATAAAGTTAAGAAAAAATTATGCAAATTTATTGTTAAAATTATATTATTAATAATAGATGATATTAAAAATATATATTTCCAATATTACTCAATTCTTCTTCGGTGCATACTATTTATTTTCAAGTTAATTTATTATTAGCCATATTTACGTAGCATATGTCTGTCCAAAATATGCTTTGTTGTTGCAATTTTTACAATTTATTTTATAAATAATATTCAATATTATTTATTAATTAATTAATTAGATACAATTAATAAATTAGATACAATTTATTCGAAAACTAAAGATAAAGTACCTATCGATAAACTAACGAATATTATTTACAAAATAAATTGTAAAAATTGCAACAACAAAGCATATTTTGGACAGACATATGCTACGTAAATATGGCTAATAATAAATTAACTTGAAAATAAATAGTATGCACCGAAGAAGAATTGAGTAATATTGGAAATATATATTTTTAATATCATCTATTATTAATAATATAATTTTAACAATAAATTTGCATAATTTTTTCTTAACTTTATACTAAAATATAATTATATAATATAAATTTGACCTGGGCACTCTTGAAATAATTTATTTCTGAAATAATTCACATGGTTATTCCACGAATGAATTATTTCGGGAATAATGGTTATTTCTGAAATAATATTTCAAACTGTCAATGAAATAATCTCGATGGAATAACTGCTGAATTTATTTCTGAAATAATTATTTCACTATTCTGACATTCTTTGGAATAAAGTAAATTATTTCGAAATGAGTTATTTCTGAAATAAATTATTTCATAACTATTATTTCAGAATTATTTATTTCATAAATAAATTATTGCAAAAATCAAGAAATGAATATTTCAGAAATAACATTGTTCTGAAATAACATAAAAAATTTACCAATATACACCATGTTTTCGGGGTATCTTTTTATGAAAATAGTGTCGAATTTGAGATTGCGTATTTTCATAATAAGCTACCTCGAAAACATAATTGTCGACCCTGATATCGATTAAATCCGAAAGGTTACTAAAAGTCGATCGGGGAGAGGAGGGGGGGATGATGGAGCACAATCTCAAATTTGACATTATTTTTATAATTAGCGGCCCCGAAAACATAATAGTCGACTCTGATATCGATTATATCTGAAGTTACAAAAAGTCGATGCGCAGTAGGGAGGAGGGTGGCGCAATATCAAATTCGACAATATTTTCATAAAAAGCGCCCCCGAAAACATAATATTCGACCTGGATATTGATTATATCTGAAAAGTCGATCAGAATGATTATTTCACATTATTTTTGAAATAATCATTTCAGATATCGTTATTCCTGAAATAATTTATTCCCGAAATAATCATTTAGGAAATAATGGTCAGGTTATTTCATGAAATAAATTATTTCGGAAATAACTATCGAGGTTTATTTAGGAATTTATTCCGGGAATATTTTTCAAATAAATTCTGCCCAGGTCTAATATAAATATGGTTAATTAATTTATTTATTTTTACAATCCTTACATTTCTATTTAAAGGATATTCCAGTTGTTTAATAAAATTCACCGCATTATTAGCAACTTCTTGGTTTGATTTTAAGTAAGATATGGTACAGAAATAAGTCTGTGATACTTTAAGTCAATCTCTACAGGGAAAGATTTTTTCACCCTTTCTTTCTAAAGTAAGCATAACTTCAAACAGCACCTTGCAACCACTGCCAACAATACTCTTAACTTGTGTAATTGGGCATGATTCTGACCACCTTTTTCCTACTTCTATATGAAGTATTGAAACTAAAGCCTTTCAATGGATTGTAAAAGGTTATATTTATTTTATTTTTTTTACTTTATTTTTTTCACTTGAACCTGTTCCCAAACCTTCTCCACCGTCATTCATTAGGGGCCCAGTAAACTGGGACCTTTTCCGCCAAATAATCTCCGATAATATTGATCTCAATATATCCCTCAAAACTCCCGATGACCTTGATAGTGCCGTAAATTCCTTTACTACCACAATCCAATAAGCCGCCTGGACTGCCTCCTTCCCAAAAGACTCCTCCAGAATTCCTATAAAGACCATTCTACCCCAACACCTCCTTAACCTAATCCGCACCAAACGCCGTGCCAGATTATTATGGCAACGTACCCGACATCCTACCGACCGCTGCTCCTATAATTACTACTGCAAACAATTAAAACTGGAATTAGCCACCTTCAGATCACAATCCTTCAACTCCTACCTATCCTCCCTCTCTTCTCGCGACAATTCCCTTTGGAAAACCACAACAAAAATCCTAAATCCTCACCGCATTTCCCATCCTCTCCGACGAGGTGATGGCTCCTGGGCAGCATCTGACGAAGATAAAGCTGAGGAGTTCGCCATTCACCTATCCAATACATTTATTTCACATCCGGAATCCCATCCTGCCCACACCGTAACAGTAGAAGAACTCCTTACATCACCAATCCCACTTTCCTTGCCCCCAAAAGCTATTCATCCTTCCGAAGTAAAATTTCAATTAAAAAAACTAATCCCCCGTAAAGCTCCTGGACATGATCTCCTTACACCTCAAATCCTTCGACAACTTCCATCCAAAGCAGTCATATTCCTTACATATATCTACAATTGTATCCTACGCACCACCCACTTCCCTCTGTTATGGAAACACTCCACTATTATCCTTTTCCCAAAACCAGGAAAACCTCTCAATAGCTCAACATCCTATAGACCAATCAGCCTACTCCCAATCCTTTCAAAAATTTTTGAAAAGATCCTTTTGAAACGAATCCTACCCATTATAGAATCCCAAAATATCCCTTCCCATCAGTTTGGTTTTCGCTCTCAACATTCTACTGTTCAACAAGGACTCCGAGTTGTTGATCATATTTCCTCAGCCCTAGAAAACAAGGAATACTGTTCGGGTGCCTTTCTGGACATTGCACAGGCATTTGACCGGGTATGGCACTCCGGACTGCTCTCCAAGCTTAAAATCCATTTACCTCAGTCCTTGTACCTAGTCCTCCGATCCTACCTCTCTGACCGCTCCTTTCGAGTTCGCTGTGGAACAGAATTTTCCAATATCTACTCCGTTAAAGCCGGTGTTCCCCAAGGCAGCGTCTTGGGTCCCGTGCTTTACATCCTCTTTACTGCTGACATCCCTGTTCATCCCGATACTTTTCTTGCAACATTCGCTGACGACACCGCAATCTTATCATCCAACCTGATCCCGAAATAGCATCCTTAAATCTCCAAAGTCACCTCACCTTGATTGAGCACTGGTGTAATAACTGGCGCATTAAAGTTAATGAATCTAAATGCCAACACATTACCTTTACACTCCGACGCAGTTCCTGTCCACCAGTACACTTGGCTTTCATTTAGACCGAAGACTAACGTGGAACCCACATACTAGACTCAAAAGACAAGAACTCAACCGACGATACGGCCAGCTATACAGACTACTAAACAGAAAATCCAAACTTTCTATTGAAAACAAATTACTTATCTACAAGACAATACTGAAATATGGACATACGGACTTGAACTGTGGGGGACAGCAAAAGCTTCTAACATCAAACGTATTCAATCCTTTCAATCTAAAGTCCTTCGAACAATAGTTGATGCTCCGTTCTATGTAAATAACAAAATCCTACACCATGACCTTAATATCCCATTTGTCCTAGACCTTATTCCAAAAAAATTCTCCAAATTTCACCAGAACCTTACCTATCATCCAAATCCCCTTGCACAATCTCTATCCAGCACCACCCATCCTTACAATCCTCCTCGAAGGTTGAAGCGGCAGTGGCCCAGAGACCTTTTGTAAATAAGCATCTATTGGAGTTTTGGCAATGGCCAGATCCTCCACTCAAGCCCGAGTGTGTATGATTAGGTTAGTTCTTTTGTTTATATACATTTATTTTATTTTATTGTATTTATTTTTATTTTATTTTATTGTATTTATTATTATTAAGTTTCTGTATTATTTATTTTTTTTTATTGTAAATAGAGTGTGAGTGTGCTTTCTCTGAACACTATTATAAATGTCCTTGATGTGACAGAATGTAATATTTCTAAATAAACAAATATAATAAATAAAAAAAAAAAATTTACTTTATCAAGAATAAAATAATATATATTATACATTATATAGAATAAAGCAATCATAAATAGTTATCAAAACATTTTTTAAAAAATCAAGTGTTACAATAGTTATAAGTTGAGACCAGATTTTTATGCAGCAAAAAACTGAAAAACATACAGGATAAAACTGAAAATGTGCAAAATCGTGCAGTGAAACCCAAAAAGTGGGCAATTGTCTTTATAATACCTTAAAAATAAAAAATAAAACATAGTTTTTTTTAATTTATAATATTGATGAATAAAATACTTATCTACTAACTTTATAAGTTAGAATTACAGTCTCTAAATTAAAGTTAGGTGTAATGTGAGAAAAAACTTAATTCTAATTAAACAATGAACGATGATTAACCTAAATCTAAATGAAAGAAAAGCAAAATATAAAGTTAATCATATATTTAATAACCTCATGTATATATTGAGTAAAGTCAAAGCTCCCAAGCTTTTATTAAAACCTATAGTGGCTGGAGTACTCTGGCAACGTTTTTTCTATGAACTTTCAGCCAAGCGATTATATGACTAGTTTGTTTTAAAATTGAAAAAAAATAAATATTATTTATAAAATATAATAAATACACATGGTTTTTGAATAAAAAAATACGAAACCATGAGTTTGAGGAGATTTTACTGTATGTACTAACATTAAACTATGAGTGTATGATGTACTTGGATAGTAATGTTGTTGTCTATATCAAACAAGTCGAGTATAAGATACCCTTTCATCCCAGAAAGAACTTGAAAATGATATTTTTAAAACAAAATAAAAACAATAAACTTGAAAACTAATGCCCAGCCACAAGCCGATTCCGAATCTTATAAGTATCACATTGTGACATACGGACTGCTGATAGGATACCTCTGTTTTTAACAAAATATCTAGACTATAAATAAATAATCAAGTTAAATAAATATTTACAGACAACCTATATATATATATATATATATATATATATAAAATAAAGAAAATTTAGTTTAAAAGTTTAATTTTATGCTATTAAAATCAAAATTTAGTCCTTAGCAATCACAAAAACCAAAAAAACGTGCATTTAGATTTAGCCAGAAAAGGCCAAAACATGCAATTTTGTGCATTATCGAATTTCAATATGTTATTCTACAGATCGTAAAGCGGATAACTAATTGGGTTTGAAATTTTTACACGCAAGCGAATAAAATGAGCAATAACATAAAAATCCAGTCTCTAGTTATAAATTAAAATTAATCTGGCTACTATACCTTATCCAAGGAGTTTAATGCCCAATAAGCAGAAGATAAAGCTGAAAACACTGAACCACGTAGCTTTAGACTACAGGTTCCAATTTTTAAAGCAGATTCTAGTACTACAACTGCAGGAGAATATTGTCCAGCACCAAGCAATTCTTGTCCAACCACTGATATAATAACAAATGCACAAGTGTCCAACCTCATAGCTTGAAGCTGTTTAAAGGTTGGTTCTAAAGCATCTAAAAAAAAAAAATTTAAATGGTTCTCATTAATTTAAAAGTATTTTAAATAATAAAAACCAAAATTAAAATTAGCACTAGAAGATAATTTATAAATAGAGGAGTAAGAAATTCTTAATATTTATTATTCAGAAAGCCTTAATATTTATCATATGGGTACATTAATACCCGCAGGGACTAGTCAAAGTGCCAGATTAGTGGAGAATAACGCTCCCCCGGGCTCCTGAGTTCAGTACACGGCACTCTCACAACAGAACAGTACACTTTACACTTATTCATACACAAGGTCATATTCAGTACTCACCTCGGGGCCACCTTCTCTGGGAAGACCCAAGGTAGGGGGGTATAGCCTAATAGCCTAACCACCAGTTGTCCCGAGGATACAGGGCCTCTAGCATTGGGCCAAACAGTCTGGAGTACAGCAAATTCAGAGAGATCTACATAGCCTCGGATGTGGACAGTCTTCATGGAAACGACTCGGCGCACTTAAGGATATTCGAATAGGAACATGGAATATTAAAACTTTAACTGGAAAGGAGGTCAAACTGGGGAAGAGATGAAGAAATATAAAGTAGAAATTCTGGGCATCAGTGAAGTTAAGAAAAAAGGCATTGGTGAAATGAAGTTAGCTGGAAATTACTCCTTAATTTATGCTGGAGTACCTAGAGGGATTTTCGCCAAGGAAGGGGTAGGCCTTGTAATGTCGCCAAATATGGTTGATCGTTTAGAGGACTGGGAACCAATACCATCTCGATTGATCGTGGCAGATTTTAAGATGCCCATTGGTAGGATTTCCTTAGTCCAGGTGTATGCACCAACTGAGGATACCAGTGTTATGGAAAAGGAGGCATTCTACTCGGATTTACAAAATATTGTAGATAAAGCTAAGGAGTAGGTTAATGGTAACTAAAATATGTCATGATAAAATGTTGGTATATTCTCATTATTTTAGTATGATTTGTCATATTTAATATAATAATATTTAGTATGAAATTTGTTATGATTTCGTTTTTGACACCAAATTTTTACCTTTTTGCATCTCTAACAGGGCGTCACGTCAAGGTAAAACTTTGGATAATATCTCATTACAAAGAGGGTGTAATACTGAACATTTCCCTTGCTTACAGTATGCAGGTACAATTTTTATGTTCTAAAATATTTTAATCCGAAAGCAACTATTAGTTAACGCGAGCTGACTTTACCCGAATGAGCGTTACATAGTCGAGCCTGACAAATCAGTCTCATTCACTGAAAAAATCACCATAAAAAAAGATCTATTTATACCTAAAGAACTTTTCACTTCAAAAATATTTAGATAAGATAAGATAAGATAAAAAAAAAACTTTATTCTGGGACTAAGTCCCTTCAGAATAACAATAATGTACAAAATAATAGAATATTACTGGCCTGAACGTTGAAACAATAAATAAAATTGATAAAATAAAATAAAAAGTAAAGAAAACCTAAGGTGCACAAGCTATATACAATACAGATAAAACTATGTACAGAGCATTTAAAATTATGAACAAAACAATTAAAACTATGAACGAATCACTTGAACTATGAACAAAATTATATTTAAGGGTTGAACAACATAAACATACACTTTGAGAAATGAAGAACGAAAAAGAGATACAATGAGTTCATTTCATAAAAAAAAAAAAAAACTTTACTTGAATATATATATGAAAATAAACAGTTACTTATAATTGAATAAAAAAAAAATACAAAAAAATGTATGTATTGAAATTCCTACGTCGATAGTAGGAAATGCATGTACTATCTCTTACCAAGTGTTATGATTATATGATTGCTACACAATACATATATAATATTAATAGTTAGCTGGTATCTGACTGTTTTTGGAACAGGAATTGGAATAGGAGGTTTTTGAATGTGTACAGGGAAGGGGCATGTCGAATTTTGATCGGGAGGGAATTCCAAAAGTTGACAGAGCGGGCTATAAAGGAATTTTGGAATGAGGCAGATCTATGAGAAGGGATGTATAGGTCAGAGGGTCGGGATCTTGTAGTGAGTGAATGGATTGAGGACTTAAATTGGAGAAGGTTGTAGGCATAAGAAGGACGATGATCGGTAATGATTTGATAAAGGAAAGTGCCAAGGAAATATTGTCTTCTTAAGGAGGGGAAGAGCCACCCTAACTCAGTGTAGTGGTGGGAGACACGGGAGCGTCTCGGGGTTCCAATTACAAATCTTACGAAGCAATTCATAAGTCTTTTGAGTCTATCACGCAGTTCCACCGAGAGGCCATCGTACACCCCACAGCTGTAGTCAAAGTGGGGAAAGATGAGAGAGGAAACTAGGAGTCTACGGGTATTTTGGGGTAGAAGATGGCGGAAGTGATGGAATAGTTTGAGGGTAGAAATTGCACGGCGGGATATATGAGAGATATGGTGATTCCAGGAAAGGGTTTGATCTATGAGAAAGCCTAAATTTTTAACAAAGGGATAGAAGGTGATGGGGTGGTTGTTTAGATAGAGTGAGGGAAAGTTGGTGTGGGATCTAAGAAGGGACTTGGAACCAATGAGAATGGCCTGAGTTTTGGCAGCATTTAGCCTTAATCCATTTAAGTTGGCCCAGGCACTAATTCGATCTAAATCTTCCTGAATTTTGGCAAATGCCACCAATAACTCAGCGGGAGAAAAGGATAAATAGATTTGAGAATCGTCGGCATAAAGGTGGTGGGAACAATGGATAATTGAATCATTTAGGTCATTAATATAAGAACTGAAAAGAAGAGGAGACATGCTTGAACCCTGTGCAACTCCTGAGGATAAAGGAAGGTAAGCAGATAGAGGTTGATTAGGTATGGAAACTGCTTGGGTTCGTTGTGAGAGGAAAGACTGGAACCAAGAGATGGAACTATTGGAGAAGGATAATGATTTTAGTTTGTTGAAAAGGATGGAATGGATAATGGAATCGAAAGCTTTAGAGAAATCAAGAAGTATAAGTATGGTTAGTTTTTTGTCATCTATTGCAGTCTGGATATCACTAGTAATTTTAATCAGAGCAGATTGTGTAGAGTAGCCAGGACGGAAGCCAGATTGGAGAGGATCGAGTTGGTTGGATTGTTCAAGGAAGTTGGAAACTTGGGATTGCACTAACTTTTCTAGGGGTTTAGAAAGATTGGAAAGGATTGATATTGGGCGGAAATCTTCGGGAGAGGATGGATTAGGCTTTTTGTTTAAAGGAAGGACAATGGCTTTTTTCCAAGAGGTCGGGAATATTGAATTCTGCAGGGAGAAATTGTAGATGAAAAGGAGTGCTGGGAGGATTTCAGGGAGACATAATTTTATTAGTTTGATAGGAATGCCATCTGGGCCTACGGAATTGGAACGGGATTTCATTATAACGGTAATAAGGGCTGTGGGAGAAATGTCGGAAAAATAAAAATTATTGTCGTTAAAAGGTACCTCTGGAGAAAAGCCGGAAGGGGATGGTAAAGAAGAGGTGGAAACCGATATAAAGTGGGAGTTTAGGTCATTAGGTGATATTGGGAAAACTGAGGAAGGGGATCTAGAAGGTTCACAGAGGGAAAGCTTACGAAGTAGAAGCCATTTTGATTTGATATCAGGAGCTGAGGAAAGGGCTTCGTGAAAGTAGTTCGCTTTCGCTTGTCGGATCCTTGTCTGTGTCGTGTTACGAAGCACTCTGAATATTTGATAATCATCTGCAAGCCTAGTCCGTCTGAAGCGTCTGCGTGCAGCGTCGCGTCTCTTCTGCAGATCCTTAATTTCCTGACACATCCAAGGAGCAGGACGATGACGGAAAGTGGAGGTTTTGAGAGGAGCGTGGGTATTGAGTATATTGGTGGTGAGAATATCAACCATGGTGTCGACAGAGGAGCAATGATATATTCCATTCAAATCCAATGTTACTAGATCAGGTAATATTTTTTCTCGAGTAAGGGTATCCAGTTGGCGGAAAGTGATAGTTCGAGGATGGATTGGAGGAGTGCGGATATTATACGTTATTTGTATCAGATCATGAGATGAAAGAAAGGATACTGGCACTTGAGAGGCGGAGAGGAGGTTTTGTGCTGAGTCGATGATGTAGAAGTCTAGCCAAGTGTCAGATCTGCTGGTGTGGTGGGTGGAGGAAAAAGGAACGATGAATAGGTGAAGTGAGAAAAACAGATTTTCTAAATAGGATTTGTCATTGGAGTTTGAGAGGAAATTGGTATTGAGGTCACCGGAGATAATTATTCTGGGATAGAGGGGAACGAAATTGTATAGAGTTGATTCGAAGGACGGATCAAATGGCACGAGAGGAGGGCGATATACCACGGCGTAAAGGATAGGAGAAATATTACTGAGAATTTCTACTAAGAGGTATTCTACATGAGGATGATCGGAAGATGGGGAGCAATCAAGGATTCGGGTCTTTAGGCTATTGTGGACAAACATGGCTACTCCACCGCCAGTCCGGTTAATCCGGTCATGACGGAGCAGGATGTAATTCGGCAAGGATACTGAAGATGATGGAATATAAGGTTTAAGCCAGGTTTCGGATATTGCTATGATATGATAAAAGTTTTGGGTAAAGTATTGCAGGAATTCGTCATAATGGGCAGAAAGTGATTGAGAGTTAACTTGACATGTGATTAGGGAACTAGACATACGGTGGATTTGGAGAGAAACAGTCAGTGTTTGGTAGCGAGAAGACAAAACGAGTAGAAAGTACAGAAAAGCGATTATCGTACATGAAACTAAGTGAAGAAAAAGTAATATTAACATTAACAATAAATAAAGAGAATGTACTTAAAAATAAATAGATTGGTGAGTGACGGTGTAGAGATAGCACTAAGAGAAGAAGTAAGACTATTTTAATGAGGCTAAGGGGTTGACGGCTTCTAGGTGGTCAGTCAAATACATCTAGATCCGAGGCCTGTTCTATCAGGATGACTCTATGTCCGTCCTCTTTTCGACACCGCACCTTTCCGGAAGCAAACCACGTATATTTGATTTTTCCCGCCGCTCTCTTCTGCCGGGCTAACCAATAGAGGTGTCTGTTTGTGCGAGTCATCTCTTCACCCAGATAAATTCGGTGGCAGTCATTTTCCTGCCAACCGATATCCCGTGTGGAGAAATCCCTCTTCACTTTCCTTTTCGTAATTAAATCATCTCTAATTGATTGCCTGACAAAACGTGCGATAACAGGCGGTGGTCGCGAGTCATCTTTTCGGCTTCTGCGGCGATGTACGTTGTCCAGGTCCTCCACACTAAGCCTGATCCCCAAGCTTGCTCCTATACTGGTCACCAAAGCAGCGGGCGTTTCGCCCGGTCGCTCCGGTATACCGCGGATCTCCAGTGATCTATTCAATAGTGCTTGCTCTGCGTTATTCAAGCGAACCTCTAATTCGCCCACTCGGGATTTGAGTGCTTTATTTTCTAATAGTATCTCCTCAAATTTTTTAGCTTGACCTTCCAGATGTTTTTCAATCTTTGTCAGTCTTTCGTTTAGTTCAAAACTGAGCTCTCCGTATTTATCTAGTGCTGTTTTCATGTTTTTTATATCTTCGTTCACGGTAGCGTCTAAACGATTTACTGCCGCAAGTATTTCTGAGGGGGACGGCTCGGTATTTTGTTTTTTCACCTGTTCGCAATTAGAGCAAACCCATGTTTTTTTAATTATTTTTAATGCTTCGGTGTCTTTATCAGTAAGGTTGACGCACCTACCATGAAAAATTATTTTACACTTAACGCAGTGTATATTGTTCTTATCTTCGCGTGCGATAGAGTTGTTGCAAATATTACACTGCACCATTTTTTAAATTTATTAATGAGAATTATTTCGCAATTAAAATATAAATAAATACCAGGACTGTTGACGGTAGTAAACAACGTCTAATGCTGGTCTAATGCTGTTAGGATTAGTAGACGCCTGCCAGCTCGTTGCTCCCAGAACTCTATCAATCTCGCTGCGCTTTCTTTACTCCGATTGGTGTGAAGTTCCGACACTTAATAGCATGATTAATAATAGTGTTTTTTTAAAAAAGAGAAGAAAAAAAAAAAAAGAACTTAACTGAACTGAAAATTAAATTAAAGTAAACTGAGAGATTATATGACCGAATTACACCGATGTACACACCAGGGCGTCTCAGGCCAGACTTTAATTTACTTCTGTTATTTAAAAAATTTATAACTAAGTAAGCATAATTGCATAATTGAAGTAATAAATAAATCAAAATAATAGCAATTTATATCTAACAATAAGTAATATAAAATATGTATTCATATTTCTTACAAAAAAAAAAAAGAATGTATAAAAATAAAGAAATCCTTATTACATGGTACATAATAAGCCAGCATTCGATTGATTTGTGAAGAGAAACTGGAAAAGGAGTTTTAATTCTGGATATTGAGGAGAAATGGTGGATTTTAAGAGGAAGAGAATTCCAAAAAGAGTTGGAGTGAGCAATGAAGGAGTTTTGGAATGAGGCAGACCTATGAAAAGGGATATGGTCAGAGGGTCAAGTTCTTGTGGCAAGGGAGTGGATAGAGGACTTGAATTGGCAGAGATAGTAGGCATAGGATGGGCAATGATTGTTGATTATTTGATAAAGGAATGTGCCTAGCATAGGCGCAGACTTTCCATTCTGGTTGGGAGGGGTGGAGAAACGATGGACCCCCAAAAAATTCCTGGGAGTTTATATTAGGTAAAAAAATTATTAGTGATAATTAACATAATCAACATAATATTGCAGAATAAACAATACAATACTATATATAAATATAAACTTATATGTATGTTTATACATTAGTATTTATGTAACTATACATTAGTATAGTTTTTTTTTCTTTTTTTGTGTATGGGTATATTTGAAAATATGTTAACATAGTAATTGAATATATTACATATTTTTATTTTTATTTATTTATAGGTTTGAGGCAGTGAGATAAGCCCTCAGTTCTCTGTTTCTTCAAATTTGTGGATGGAAATGTGATAAAATCTTCACAAATAAGGTGTTTATAATCTTTTTCACATATCGTTTAGTTTATAATCTTTGAATATAAACTAAAATTTCAGAAATAAGAACATAGGGCATGGTATAATACTTGCTTACCTACTTCTAGGCCTTAGCTTAGGCATGTAAACATTTTTTCCATTTTTTTAATTGGGTTTTGTTTACATATTTTATTCATACACGTTGATTAATTGTTATTGATTTTATTTTTGTTCTCCAAAATATTGTGGGAGCGAAACTATATTCCCACCCTCTCTTTATTTTTATTGGTGGGGGATTGTCCCCTTGAACTCCCCTCCCCTCTCCCCCTCCGAAGTCTGCAATTATGGTGCCTAATAAGTAATGTTTTCAGAAGGAAGGGAAGAGCCACCTTAGCAAAACATAATAGAGGAGAAACATGAGAATATACTGGAGTCCTACTGACAAATCTTACCAAGCTATTTAGAATGAAGAAGCTTTACCCTTAATTTAATAGCTTTACCCAGCCACGTGTTGCTGTGGCTCAGTCTGGCTTAACAGAAAAAAAAGAAAATAGAAAAATGCACACATTTTTCAAATGATTAATTATATAAATAATTAATTGTATAGTTGATATGTTGTTTAATTTTGTGTTGATTATTTTATATCAAATAGAAACGTAAATATTTGTTTGTTCAAAAATCTTAAATCTCAGAAAGTTCTTAACTAGTTTAAAATTTTGGCTCAACATTGCATTAATTAAAATACGCGCATGGTTTTATATACATACTATAAAACATCAGGTAAAACTATATTTTATTTTTCAAACACCACCATTGGTTGGATGTAATAGCAACATACACTGTTCAAAATATTGGTTGATACAATTTCAATGTTTCAGATTTACAAATATTAAATGTGGCATTGCATTGGAATTGAGCTATACCATTTACCATGTCATTGATTTTCTGTGCATTAGAGCTATCTTCCTCCTCTCCTTTTTGCACGATTTTGCATACTCCCTCCTAAGATACTTAATTGCCCTCTTTTTCTTAAAAACAACTTGATTAAATTTAAAATAATAAAATTTCTAGTTAAAAAATAAATTACTTACTCATGAAATAAACCCTATGGTAAAGGACACAGCTTAATTCCAATGTAATGTTATAAAAAATTATTAAAACAAAAGTAAAATAATCCGAAATCTATGAAATTCCAATTTTTCAAAGTAATTTAGAACATGAATATTACTCAGCAGTTCACTATTTTAAAATAACTGCTTATCAAATATTGGAGAGATATCATATTACTTCCTTTAAACATTGGGGAAAAATAAAAATATAAAAATTTTATGTTAGTATTAACCTCTCTAATCTCGATTTCTTCAGTAAATGTGAAGTTTTTGATTAATCAAAAATCAAAATGAAGGTACTCGCCTTTGCAGAAGAAAAAGTACTTAATGGTTAAAATGCTCTATCTCTGCATCAAGTTATCTGATTTGTTTTTAATTCAGGAAGTTTTCAAATAATTATGGGTATAATGAATAAAAAATCGAGTACTTTCTGAATTCTTTGCAAATAAAATGTTCAATTCAATGTAATATTTTATGCACTTGTTTTTGGGAAAGTATGTTGTATACATAAATTAAAAAGGCTTCAAGGAGACCTTTGCTAAGTTTCATTAAAATCATTACAGCCATTTTGGTGCTACAGTCAGTCTATAGTGTCGCATGATTTTCATCTTCCATTTAGTAAGGGAAGGCAGAATGGTAATGAAATTTATATAAAAACACTCCTAAATTGGATTGAAATATTATGTCAAAATTTCAAAGCAATTGCTGAAGAACTTTCGGAGATTCGAGATTTGAAAAAACAAACATTTATATAGATTAAAATCTTTGCCTTTCTTGAGAGGTTCTTGAACTTAAGGGCCTTCTGCAAACCCCATTAGCAGCGGTTCCCAGAAGCGATTCTGGTTTTTATATAGGCTTCTGTCAAATTATCGGTGGCTATCAGGCTACCAAGATACCTGAATTCTGGACAACAATGTATTTCGTAGCCACCCAGTTGAATTTTCTGCTCTTCACCATACCTTTTTGCTGTCTGCATATACATTGCCTTCTGGACATTAATCTCAAGCCCAAGTTCCCTTGCAGCTCCCAGAAGCTCCTCCAGGTTGAAAATGGAACCACCTGGATTTGTTCTAATTTTATGAATTGTAGAATCTAACACAAGGTTGAAGCGCAAAACTGACAGAATCACCTTGGTATAATTCTTTACCAACCCTAAAACTTTTAGAGCATCTCTGTCCGATCTTAGCCTTACAGGATGTATTCTTTAGAGTCATGTGGATAAGCCTAATCCAGGATAAACCTACTAAGCTTTCTGAGGATTCCTAAAGAATGCAGATATTTGTACATATCTACAAGACATTAGTAAGGCTGACTGTCCTCTATGGAAGAGAATCATGGATGTTAACAACAGAAAATAAGAGAGATTTGAAAGTCTGGGAAAGAAAAGTTCTTTGTTAAATATTCGGCGCAGTGAAAGCGGGAAATGTCTGGGGAATTGGAACATATAAGAAGCTGCAAGAGTTATTTGGACATCGTCTCTATCTAGCTAGACCGATTAAGTTGGTTGGGACATAGAGAGAGAATGGATTCTGGTAGAATCCCTAAAAAAATTGCTCTACTGGAAGCCAGGTGCTGGACAAAAGTGGGGAAGGCCTCGACTGCGATGGGTGGTTCAATGATGTCGAGGCAGACTTGAAGACTGTTGGTGTACACGGCTGGAGAAGATATGCTAGACAGAGCCGAATGGAGCAAGCTGTTGATGAAGGCCAAGATCCTATATGGACTGTAGTGCCAGTTTGTGAGTGTGAATGAGTGAGAACATTTATATAGATTATTTTAAAGCACATAATAATTATATTACCTCTTAAGGGGGATTTTAATGATGCTTCCAATAAGCCAGAGAGAAGTTGAGAAGATTTTGGGTCTTGTGCTAATCCAGAACTAAAAACAGCCAGAGCATCACCATGTCGTCCCAAACACTGCAGGGCCACACCTTGTCGATAGTAAGCCTTAGTGAAAAATTAAACAATAATTTTATAATTGAGTAAAATTATACACTTTAAGTTTATTTTATTGTAGAATATGTTTATTGGGAAGAAATAAATGAAGAATTTTTACAATATATATATATATATATATAAAGTAAAACTTCTCAGTAGCAAACAGCAAAAATTGATTTTTTAATTTACAAATTAAATATGAGAAATAGATTTTTAGATAATATAATTATTATAATAAAAGTGCTCATACTAAAAGGAAACTTGTCAATACAAAAGTTTTAATTTCAAACAATTTATATAGAATATCAGTAGTTTTTTATAGAATTGTTTGGTGCATAAATACTTAATTTCTCAACAGGGCTTAAATAGATAAAATCAGAACAATTTCTTTACTGCTCTACTTCAAAATGAATTTTTTTTTCAATGTCTTTATTGGGGATTGGGTAGTTTGTTTCAGAATTTTAAAATGTGATGAAATAAGTAACATGGCTTATCATTGACAGTTAATTATATATTTTGTAATATTTTAACAATGTAAAAGTGAAATAAGTTCAGTTGGAAGACTCAGGGACTACAAAAAGTTAGTCACATCACAGATAGCATGAGTGCTGGAGGATAAGGATAGACAGCCAGGGTTTATAGAATTGCTATGGTTTAAACGCTCATTAATCACTGAAGTTTCCCTGAAGACTTATATCTTCCAGAGAAGATCTAAGCTCAGTAAATTCAGTCAAAACAACCCTGAAATCTATTATTCACTCAATTATTCATAAATCAGTACGTTATTTAGCCTTATGTTTCCAGCAAGAAATACCTTGCACTTTCCAATAGTATGAATGAATTATTTTTTCGAGTAACTAATCCCAGGTTTAAATAGGCTCAGAATGTCTTCAATTTCCCCTTCTTGAAATTCATAAGGTATAAAGGCCCAACATCTGGCCAGTCAACACATTAGTAAATTTCAATACAAAATGCAGAAAAATTATAATCACCTTTGGCCAGTTTGGATTAAGTTCCCTTGCTTTTGTGGCATCCTGCAGTGCTTGGGCAAACTGCCCCATTTTTACATAAGCAGCAGAACGATTTGAATACAAGATGTGATTTGTTGGATCAAGCTGAAGAGCATCACTGTATAAAGAAACGGCTTTAGCATAGTGACCATTCTGGCAGGCTTGGTTGGAAAGCCTTACCTTCTCAATAAACAAGGCTTTGCTAGCAGCAGGAAGCTGACATGTTCCTTCTGGTTCCACCTGAAATAAAACAAAAAAAAAAAAAAAATGAAAAAATTGATTTAAATAAGTGTATATATAGATAGATAACTAAATGTTTACAGAATTTCAATATCGATTACTTTAAAAAAAAATGAACAACTAATTTAGTCCAGCAACCTAGTACATCATAAAATGCATCAAGTGTTGGTAGAAGTTTTAGTTTTTTCTTGTTTGGGATGTGACTGAAATGTAAAATCCAAGTTTTCGACCTTGGTAGCCACCTGGATCACTTTTGAATTTCCCCAAAACTGCTTAATTTTCACACTTTTATCAGTTTTGACCATGAAATGACCCCCATTTTGACCATGAAAGGGCATGTTATTGACAAAAAACGTAATGTATATTTTTAAAATAAATTAAATTTACTTTAATTTGAGACCAGAATAGACTGGGTAAATTAAAATTTGGCAAGCTGTAGATCAAAACCTATGAGGTTTGCAGAGCCTATTCTGGTTTAAAATTGTAGTAAATTTAATCTAGTTTAAAAATTCATATATTGTTTTTTGTCTATAACGTGCCCCGTCATGGTGAAAATGGAGAAAAACTAATAAAAGTGCAAAAATTTAGCAGTTTTTTTTAATATTCAACAATGAATCAGGGGGCTAATTAAGTAAAAAACTTGGTTTTTGCAACTGAGCCATATCCCATACAAGAAAAAAAACAAAACCTTCTACCAACACTTCATGCAAGTTAGACCCTCCTTTCTTTTCATGAAGTTACTGTACTAATTCCAATAATTTAATCATTCGAAGAATTAAATTTCAAGTTTAATTTTTCAAAGGAAAATTACCTTATTTCCAATAATTGTTCCAATCCAAATATTTGGTCAACGCCTATTCAAAATTTTTAATCCACAATCTGATATCGTTAATTTAACTCACCTTGAATGTATTAAACCAGAATAATATAATTCCCGCCAAATGACCCTCCCACCTAAAATATCTCATCCCATAGAAATAACTAACATCATTCACAGATTGTCTTCCACAAAGCACATGGACATGACTTACTTACATCCCAAATCTTAAAACTTCGTTCTCAGAAAGCTGTTCTGTTTCTCACATACATATATAATCTACTACTTTAACACTGAATTTACTGATACTTCAAAGAACATGAAAATAATTCTCAAGTGTCGAGGAGCTCAACTAAAGTGTGCAATTAAACATTCAAAAAGGTAAGCTTACAGATCCTTTCTCGAGAAACTTGATTTCAGAAAACATGGCATTAAAGCACACAGATTATTATCAAAGCTGAACAATATTACAATACATTTAAACAGCACAATCCAGACAGAATCTAAGCTATTAACGAATGGTAAGGACATAGCTCGACATTTTTGCAAGCACTATTGCACTATAAGCAATTTTAAGCCCAAAACAAAACAGCCTCAAAAAAAACTTCCATCAATCTGCTTGACTGAGAAGTAATTGAGAGTTTTTAATAAGCCATTTACGATGGTAGAAATGGAAGTTGCTACACAAAATCTCTCAGGAGGAACGTCCCTGGGACCTGATAAAATATTTCCTGAATTCCTTAAATATTTAGGAAAAAAAGCCAAGAATGTCACCCTCTCTTTTCTAAACCTAGACTGGACACTACATCTACCAAACAAATGGAGAAAGGCAGAGGTGATACCAATATTAAAAACTGGTAAGAAGCCTGATAAACCGGAAGACTTCAGGTCAATAGCACTGACAAGTTGTTTCTGAAAGTTACTAGAAAGGGTGGCAATACACAGACTACTGACAGTCATGGAGCAAAATGACATACTATCTCCATCACAAGCTGGGTTCAGGAAAAACAAGAGCACAGTCAAACAGATTGTTCATTTTTCACAAGAAGTGAAAGATGGCTATCATCAAAAACAAAGCTCCTTAGCTGTATTTGTTGATTTCAAAACAGCTTTGAACAGGGTCTGGAGGAAAAAACTTCTGCACAAGCTTATTGGAATGGGGATGCATGGACAGCTATACAGGTTTCTGACCTCCTTCCTTTCCCAAAGATTCATAAGGGTCAAGTACAAAAATGGATTTTCAGAATTTAAACAAACAAAGCAGGGACTTCTTCATGGGTCAGTGCTGAGTCCTCTTCTTTTCTGTTTGATGATCAACGATTTGACTGAATTTCTGCAGAACAAAGTTCCTGGGCTAAAAATGCTATTGTACGCTAATGATTTAGTTCTATGGGCAACTAGCAGTGACATAAATGCTTTGCAAGAGTTAAGCGAGCAATGTTCTGCAGGAACTAAGAGTGTGGTGTGAGGCCAATGAAATGGTGCTAAATACATTAAAGACAGAATTTAAACTGTTTTCGCTAGCCAAAAATATTCATCCTATAACTTCGAAATATGGACCAGAGGTTCTACTAAGGCTGAAGCAACCACCTACCTCGGGATAAGACTTGATAACAGACTGAGCTGAAGTTTACAAAGGGCTACACAAAGGGAAACAAAGAATAAGTCTACTTCATAGAATGACAGGAACGAAGTGGGGAGCGATACATGATGTACTTTCTTTGGCGTACAAAACGTATGTGCGATCTTGCTTGGAATAGGCTGGAGAACTCTTGATTACAGAACCTGAAAAAGCCAGGCAAAAAGTTGAAAAAATCCAAAACTCAGCCCTCCAGATAATAACAGGTGCGCCGAAGTCTGCACCCATCCTAGCTATGCAGCTACAAGCAAACGTTGAACCTATAACAAGAGAGAAGTAAGTTCAATAAGTCTCTATGAACGACTACATAGACTTCCTAATGGGTATTGGTCGAAGAAGAAGCCACCATCAAAAAGACTTGTAATGCAAGTTACTTTTTAAGAGAAAGCTCAACAGCTTAAAGATAAAATAAACTTGCTTAAAGAGAACAACTTTCTCTGATGCCACGTCAGTTTCCTGTAATAACAGCATCATATAAACTCAACCTAATTAAACCCATTAAAAAAGAAGAGGTCATACCAGAAGAATTAAGATCCTTGGCTCTTAAAACGATTGCTGAACGTTATCCCAGCCCTCCATGAATTCTTGTGTACACCGATGGATCTGCCAAATTAGAAACACACAATGGAGGGGCAGGTGCATTCTCTTAACTGTTTGCTATTTCGAAACCGGTTGGGAAATGGGCCTCAAATTTTGACAGCGAAATAAGAGCAATTTTATTGGCACTACATGCCTTGTCACACTTAGATGCCAAAAATCTTTTATTGTTTGTGGATTCAAAGGCTGCTATTCTCGCTGTGTGACGGCCAAATGACTCCTTCGCTCAGGATATCCTTAAGTGCCAAAAGATCATAGAGAAACTACTTCTTCAAGGAATAAAGGTATCCTTTCAATGGATACCAAGTCACTGTGGTCTCAATGGAAACGAAATGGCTGATAAACTCGCGAAGGAGGGCTCCACATTGAACTAGCCAGAATATAATAGAATATCATATCATAGAGCCAAAAAAGAAATAAATAAGGCAAGTGAGGCTCTACTACTGGATTCCATAAAGAGCTGTATTGCTGAAAAGTATGGGAGAAAATTGTTAAATGAAGCGGATCGAGTTCCCATGAACCTGCCGAGAAAAGAAGCTGTGGCAGAGTTCCATATGATAACAGGCCACGACTATCTTAGGAATCACCTGCATAGAATAGGAGTGGCAGAATCTCCACATTGTAACCTATGTAATTCAGGATCACATATGGATGCAGTGCATTTAGGTGTATGCTCCCGCTTGGTGAACATAAGAGTTACGATGTTGTCCAAATCGGAATGGTACTGGGCTGCAAGATTCCTGATGGCAGAAGTTGATAAAGAAAGGCATACTTAAAAAAAAAAAATGACAATAATGCCTATTTATTCACTCTGTTCAAATTACTCAAGGTAATAGCCTTAGTTCTATTCTCTACACAGTTTATACAGCTAGTATCCCAATCCATCCTGACGCTATCATCAGCAAGTACGTTAAAGAAACATGTTTACTATCTATTACTAATGACCCTTTAATTGCATCTCAAACCCTCCAAACACAAATGACAAACCTTGAAGAATGGTCAAAACTTGTGAATCTAAATAAATTACAATAAATCCCATCAAATCACCGTTTATCCCCCATCGTAAACCTATGACTTCTTGTTCTACAGTATCTTCCAATAATATTCCTTACTTACTAGACAAACACTCTAAACTTTCAATTAATTTCAAAAGGCTCATTTATATAAGGCTGATATACCCTTCATTGGCGAGTGTAAAGTAAAAATTTCAGAATCTTTTTTTGAGAGGGAGATCCAAATTTAATTTTATAAAATTAAGTGGGCGTTTGTTTTGAAATTTTTTATGGGGGCTTATGGAAGTTAAGGTTTCGCAATAGTCATAATAAAAACTTTGATATTCAGCTATTTGTTTAGGTGCTACTTAACTAAACAGACCACTACCGATCCATTAAAATTGTTTGAGTGTTTAATTTTCATTTATGATGAAGCAGGAGATGGTGGAGTCGATTGAAATAATCAAAAAGAATTGTAGTCTCTCCACCTTTAAACTCTGCTGAATTTATCACTGCCAAAGTAATCAAAATAATATTGGATAATATGGTTTTTTTTTCTGATTTCCGGCTAATCCATTTGGTTAATCCTAAAATGTATATGGCAATATTTGTTAGGCTCATGAAGTTAAATTGAATGACACCTTGAACAGGAAGATTGAACAAAATTGAAAAATTAGTGTTTTAAGCGACAACGTGTTACAGATGTTCGGGATTTCAGATTTTTGCTATTGAGCTGTGATAATTTTTTCCATCAGTCGAACAGTACCTTGAACAGGAAGATTGAACAAAATTGAAAAATTAGTGTTTTAAGCGACAACGTGTTACAGATTTTTGCTATTGAGCTGTGATAATTTTTTCCATCAGTCGAACAGTACAACTTTTAAATGTGGCTCGTAATAAGAGTAGGTTGGAATGAGAATCGAAGTAAGTAACTGCCTAACCGTGATCTCTAGGCAGACCAAGTGGACTTGGGTGTCTGTAATGTATAAAAGGGAAAGATATCATGAAACTGGTTGATTTTATTCAAAGTACAGACAAAACCTTCATTTTATTTATATAGATAAGAATCCTATATAGACATATGGAATTAAGCTTTGTGGAGCTTAATCCTCTATATTTTGTCATAAATAAAATCATCCATAAAGACCTTAATGTTCCATGTGTCACTGATTTGGTCTAATTCAGATACCTATCCCTTCATGATTAGCTCCATAGCTAACCGAACCCATTTATTCAAACTTTGTTTCCTCCTCGATTCCTGATAATCCTCCTAGGCTTCTTAAAACAAGATGGCTTCAGAATTTTCTTACTTAGAACTATTAAGGATTTCTACCATTGGGTATTATCTTGACAAATCTGTTCATGTCATGATTCTTGTTCTGTTCACATTTACTGATTGTGTTCTATTTAATACAATGCCTACTGTTTAGGCATTCATTGTTAAGTATAAGTTTCCAAATGGATTGCTCGGAGCTGCATGTCCTGCCCATCTTAACCTCCTTGCCTTTATATCATGAGATATTGATTGACCCGTTAGTATAACCAGTTCTTTATTGGTCCCATATCGCTTCAGTTATCATCTGAAGAACTTTCTTCTCAGATCATTCAATAGAGTTTTATAGGGTGCTGGTTAGTGTTATTTTATATATAGTAATACATTGCCCGTTTTACAATAATTATGTTCACTATCACTTATAATTAAGTTAATTAAACATAATATAAATTCCTGAGACCTTTTTTTTGGGAAGAGTTCATTGTCCGCCAAACCAGAATGGAAAGTCTACACCTATTCTGGTAATGCCCTAATGATGACACACAAACTTGGATTTAAATATTGGCAATAAAAATATTTAATAAACTGACTGCATCCTGACTATCTATTACCCAGGAGAATTTAATTCATTTTCTGATTGACGAATCAAAAATATATAGTGCACAGGATTGTCATACTGTATATTAATTGCCGTAAGTATTTATTTATAAATAAAGTAATGTTATAAAGGTTTATTAGATTAAAAAAAAAATTCTACAGAAAATATGGTAGTAAGTAAATGTTGTGTGATTTACCGGACCATATTTTTAAAATGTATCCATAAATTATCAAAAGGTCTAAATTTATATTATACTTCTTATATTCATTTAAATATTATATATCAGAGTGAAATAGTAACTCCTCCATTAGTTAAGTTTGTTCCATTTATGCTAAGTACTTCTAATTGTTATTTAATACAGATTAAAAAAATTATTCTGACTAATAAAACAAAATTATTGATTGACATGTCAAAAAAATCCATAAGGAGTACAAAATTAAAGATTATTCCATAAGAATTAAAGATGAAATTGTTTAAATTTTAAAAATATTATCTAGACATGATAATGTCAAGAATAGAAACATAGAAGAAATACAGAAATAATATTAAACTATTTCAAGGAATTAATCTAACTTTTCAGTTAAAATTTAAGCAAGAGATAAATAAAACAAACATCCATAAAAATTTACGACCCTGTTTGATAATATGATCCGTAAGTCCAATTTAAAGAACAGTTGATTGTTAATTTTAATTGATGGATAAACAATAGTGCATATAAATGAAGAGAAAATTTCGAAAAATCATTGAAAAAGAGCAATTGAATGACAAAATATAAATTTTACCTCAGATAGGTCCCTTTGAGACATGATTGTTTAAAAGTGGTCATCTCGCCAGCTTAACAAAATTAACGAATAACAAACATTTAATGCAATAAAAACACTTCCTAAAACTCATAATGCTCCATTCTTTAATAGTTCCCGACTTTACTGTATACTAAATCATTGTCAGGACAATATAACGTTAGTATTTCTCAATATGAGCCCATTTTTTTCTACATTTCTAATATTGAGCTCATAAATTAATACTAAATCCAAATTAACACTCAACTGTCCATCACAAATGATTCAAACCTGCGACTGCACCGAACATTCCTAACACTCGCCATCTTGGCATTCCTTAATGATTATCCTCCTGATAATGAAATAGTAAAACTCCTACGAATTTTTTTTTTCAACATTTTTAATATTTTAAGAACTCTTTATCTTATTATTCAATACATTTTGGGAGCTGGCATTTGTCAATACCGTGTTATAATAAGTATACTAATCCATAATGATACTAGTGATTTCATTTTGGCATTAAAGTTTCTTATGATTATCCAAGATGCGATTCAGATATGTACTCGCAATTGTGTAACGTCGGGGTGAACGTGTCTCCAATTTAACTTTAAATAAGTTAAAATATTACTATAAGTTCAGTTAAAATTAGAAAAGTGTAGACAAGCTTAAAAAAAAAAAAAAAAAATGGTTTTGTCCTAATTTTTCGAACTGAACATAAATATGTCGTTAGCCTCAACATAATTCTTAATGAACAATGAAATGATTAAAGTTCTATGCTATCCGTGCTCCATTCTGAAAGTTATAAGCACTCTACGCATATGTACACACCTAAAAAATAAATCTGTAAATTTCTTGCAAAAATACATTAATAAACTGTTTTAGAAGCCCTTGTGCAACAAGTAACCGAACTTCTTTGATCCCCAAAAGAACCAGACATTTTTCTTGTCAATACCAGTTGAATTTAGTATCTTCAGCGCCGAACTATAATCAATTCTTAACGCCATAATATACAGCGAAAAGACATACATCAATCAACAAATAGTTATTCTGAAAGACTCAGCAGCTGCATGGACACAAGTAAATCACTCAGACTAAAAAATCCATCTCGAAATTGGTGGACTCTACGGTCTCTTATGCTCTGCTACTTAGGGGTAGAGACTCGACTAATAAATGTGAGGGTATGCCAAAATAACAACCTCAACAATCTATCCTTCCTAATTTATCGAACCCTCAAAAACCTCATCAATATCAGATCTCTCATATTCCTCTACCATCTAATGCCACAGGTCTTGCTAGTTTATTGATTTAAATCCCTCGTTACCCCACTGACATCACTCCTTACAAATCTAGTATCTCATCTCATCCCTCCTTTAAAAAATCCTTAAATTAATCCCATCAAGATATACCTTATCCATTATCCTATGGAATGCGAATGGTGTCAGAAATCACACAGACGAACTAACAGCCTTACTAGTAGACAAGAATGTCGATGTAGTCTTAATTAAGGAAACTCGACTGACTAGAAAACAGCTTTTGAAAATATCACAGTATTTAACGTATCGGACTGACCATCTTTATGGTAGAGCACATTCCGTCAAAAACCACGAATTCTCGTGGCCGAACATTGCTGTCTGCACTCAATTCCTTAAGTTTTACCCTCCTTCTACCCAACTCACATACTTCCTAGTCCAGTGATCCTAATCGTAATCCCGATATCCTCGATTTCTTTATCCACAGTGGTTCAGGTACCCTCAACTATTCCCTTGCAGTATGGTCTGCTTCCTCCCCTAATCACATCTAAAGAATCTTTAAGAAACATAATTTACCTCAATACCTCCTTGATCTAATCCTCATCAAACACCCGATTATTATGGCAACGTACTAGACATCCCACCAAATCGCTGCTGCGACAATTATTACTGTACAAAATTAAAGTGAGAATTAGCCACCTTTAGATCCCAATTATTGAGTTCCTACCTCACCTCTCTCTATTCATGATAATTCCCTGTGGAATAACATTAAAAAAATCCTAAAATCCCTTTATATTTACCATCCTCTGCGTCGAGGTGATGGTTCCTGGGCAGCGTCTGATAAAGATAAAGCCGAGGAATTTGCCAAACAACTTTCATTTCTCATCCGGAATCTCACCTCATCCAGACTGTTAAAGCCCCTATACACAAAGTTTCATATGTCCCGGTGATTTGATATTCTTGTCGGCAGTGATATGGGAATATAGTTGTAATACTATCTATTGCATTACAGAAATCACAGAGCTCGATAATCCGCAACGAAACCGACAAAGGGTATCATATCGCATCTGTGGGTAGAGTAAAAGAATTCTTCTTTTCTCTTATCCTACTCCGCTTAGCAGTTACTCCCTCATAGGTCAAATAACGTATTTGACCTTTCAATCTTTTTTTTTTTTTTTTTTATTGATGATATTTACAACTGTATTACAAGTAAAAAAACATTCAGTAAATGGGAACAAAGGAATAAAATAGCATGAAATCACTTGTTGAGAAACTACCCACTGGTAGCACTCTAAAAATGTATTTACAAAAGGAGATCTCGAGGCCATCTTCACCTTTCAATCTTAAGTCGTCCAAACAGTAATCGATGTTCCCTTTTATGTAACCAATAAAACCATACATAATGACCTTAATATTCCATTTATTCTTGATCTAATCTTAGACAAATTTTATTATATTGTTATTATTTTATTTATTTATGTTTCTATAAATGCGGTTATAAATTCTATAAATATGTTATGAAAGTGCCCTCTGAACTCTACTATAAATATCCTTAATTGAGACAGATTGTAATATTGCTCCATAAACAAGTTAAAAAGAATATATTCGCTTAGATTATACGGTTGTTTTCTGCCCATTCTCAGTATGGATTCTTAGGTTATATAAGTCATCCATTGAAAAATTATTATAGCTTCAACGTGTCTCCGCCTATCCTCATGAAATTTGCAGAGATTGAGAGCATTATTAACGCAGCATATGAAACAATATGAAATGGTACAAACCAGACCCTTGTATACAAATTAGAACTGGAGATATAGAATGGAAATATATGAGGGATTTTCTTTATTTAATCCTTATAAAGCTACCCTTGATCTGGAAGAACAGTAATTCAGTTTTTCAACGGTCCTCGAATTTAGAAAATATCTTGACGAGCTCTAGCTATGAATACTTTACTGAACGGCAGGGAAAAAATCCAACCAAATCAGGATCAAAATTTTTTTAATTCAATACAAGAGTTTTAAAGGACATTAGAAACAAATTATATTTGCCAACAATTTACTTGGCCTACATTACTGAAAACTCCAGTTTTCATATTTTTTTATACATTTGATTTCATACAATAGGTTGGCAAATAAGGCCTTTCGGTTTTCTGTTTTTTTTATGTCACTATGATACACTTCTTATCTAATGAATTAATCTCCTAGATGGATTGTTTATCCTGTTTGTAATATGTCAACAACTATATCTATTAACTCTTGTTGAAACTAGCTTAATATTGTGTTTGCTATTGCACTGTGAATATGGAAGAAAATATCATTCATCATCAGCATATTTTGTTGTATTATTTTAAAAAAAGTAAGCGTGCTGTAGAAGCTAATAGAAAATTTGCAGTGCTTATGGGGATGATGCCTTAACGCACCTGTCAAAATTGGTTTACCAAATTCTATTCAGGGAATTTTTACATCAATGATGTTCAACGGTATGTTCGCCCACATGAATTTGAAACGAGCAATGTTAAGGCCATTGTTAATCAAAATCCAACTTTGTATCAAAATCAGTGTAAAAGATTGCTATGGCCCTAAATATGTCGCACACAGGCGTAGATAACCATTGGCACAAGCTCGGCTATGTTTCCAGGCTTAATGTTTGGGTCCCTCACATGATTTTTTTTTTATTGAAAATCACAAAAAATGTTATAACTTTAATAAGACTATAGCTATCTACAAGACTTTTGGCAGGAATTTTGGGCCACATAAAATACACAAAATGACATCAAGAGGACCTTCGTAAACAAACTAGAAATGGAGATAAAAAATAAAAACCTATAAGAAGTTTTTGTTTATTTATTCCTCATGTAGGCTTTAAATCAAAACAAACATTCATACGGCTTTGAACAGCAATAATTCAGCTTTCCAACGAATATAGTTACATCGAATTTGGAGAACATCCTGAAGACTTATAAATAATCGGAAGGTTGTTGTGTTCCACCAAGACCTCGTTGGTCACTTGCAATAAATTATTGAACCTTGGACGGGACCTTTTGCCCCACTCTCCTTATTCACCAGCTCCAAGTAACTACCACTTATTCCGGTCTCTGCAGAACTCCATGAATTGAAAGAAATTTCAAAAGGAAGAGGAAATCAAAAACCACTTGTAACAGTTTTTAACAATAAACTCCAGACATTCTATGAACATGGCATTATGCAGTTAATGGAAAGGTGGGAGAAAGTCATATTAAATAATGATCAATGGTAATAATGGTTAATATATTGTAGATTAAAACAAATTTTATGTCTATAATACATTGATTTTTATTTCACCCTGAAAACCCGAAAGGCCTTGCCAATCCAATAATATGATCAGCAATATTTTTTCTGATTATATAAAAGAAAAATAATTTATTGCAGAAATATTACATAAAATGTTTCAGAGGAGAACCTTGTTGATTAAATAAAATAAAAACAATTTTTTTTTTTTGGTGACCACAAATGGTTTAGATACCCTACTGACTGGACCCAATCATTTGGTTTCAAAGAAAAAGAATACTTTGATTCTGATTGCATATATTAATTACATATTTATAGTATCAACAATCAATATTTAACTCTTTGACTACGGAAAGGAAACATGTCTTCCCGTTAAGAGTTGGGTCACCGATGCGGACGGGATATATGCTTTTCCGCTTGGGCGGTCGCCACTTAAACAGGTCAAGGGGCAAGTCCCGCACTCACCATTTGACTTGTGGCTTGGTCTGTGCATTCATTAATCCCTTGTGGCTGACTCAGTGCGGTTGTTCCGGATTCTGACAACTTGGAAGCTATCAGTTGCCGATTTATTTTAAACCCAAAGTATGTCCTTTCATTGTTATTTGTGTCATATTCATGATCTTATTTATGTTCTATTTAAATGTTTTATTCATCAAATAAATGTTAATAAGTTAATTTTATAACTTTTCTTTAACTGAATGCTGATTTTGGTACACGCGAATCTCAGCCTACTAAACAAATAAATTTAAGTTCCCTACGTTATACACTGGCAGGCAAAAAATTCCACCCACTTGATTTTTTCATGTTTTCATCTAAAA